GTAAGATGAACGTTTAAATGTTATTCAATATACGTGGAATACAGTAAATGTTGTATAGAGGGCATTAAAAATGGAGAACGAATACAGGCAGTTTCCGATACCAGAAAAAAAAATCGTTTGGTACTTAAATTCTCATTCACTTTGGATATGATTGAAATATGGTACTGGGTATCGAATGAAACGGGTAGTATGAAAAAATCAAAAGAACACGTTCAGCACTAAAACCCAAACTCAACCGTGGCACAATGTAAAATTTAATTCTATGAATTATATGCTGTAAAATGTATACATTTTAATTGTTTAGTGGTTCATATGTAATTTTTATTAATCGTAATATATATTTGCCGAGTTATGACACTCGGAAAACATAAACACTACAAAGATTTATAAGGATGATAAGGATTTAAATTAAACTATCGAGTTATATCAAAAGGAATTGTCATGTTTCTGTATAATCCGAAGTACGAGTATATTTGACCTTTAACGAACGACCTTAAGTTCCAGGGTTGGTAAGTTTCTTTGACTCAGCGCCTAAAATTACAATTAATTTTTTTATCCGCTAAAAACATATGATACTCGTATTATGGTTTAAAACTTACCGAAGTAAAATAATTTTTGGTGTATTATACTCATATTAGTTCAATCAAATTTTATAAATAATTAGGTATTAAAAATATCGATAGATTAATGCAAACCTTCTTTTTCTTTTTCGCATTTCTCTAAATTATTTGGAGTCGGGCACCTTTGTTTTGCAAATTTTAAACAAATAAAAAATCAAAATTTTAACTAAATATTTTAAATATAATAGTAATATGTATGATGTTTGATGAATATGCTATATTTTATGGTGCACACAAATTGCCTCCCAAATCTGAAGGTTACTTTTTGGTACTCGAATTGCCTACTGGTATTTCAGAGGCAATTCGAGTGACCCTATGTTATCATACTCGAATTTCCTCTTATAAAAATCTTTATAATTTACATTTATTTCGATATTTCGATATTTATTGATATTTGAAATTTGGAGTGAATATACTGTGACAAAACTTGTGATCCAAAACAAGTAAAATTTGTGACTCGGTGACGCAAAATACAGCAAATTGGATAAACTAGGAACTGAATAATTGAAAAACTATGAAATTGGACAACATCTGTGTTACATATTTGGCCTTCCATTTTTAAATCCAGAATAAGTAATTTAATAACTTAATTAAAATTAAAGTATCAATTTAATCATTTCATAATTATATGTTGTAGGTAGATGATGAATTTGCTGTAGATCTTAGTGAACTTAAATCAAATTATGATTGTCATTCAATTTGCCGATTATTTAATAGACAATTATATTGATGAAAACTCCACTTTTTCACCAAGCATGTGGGCTGCTAGTTCACAAAGATCAACCAATACCTGTGAATCATTTCATAATAAATTTAATTCTTATTTCTTGTAGACACATCCAAATATTTGTACATTTTTAAATGAATTAAAATCCATACAAATTGACATAATTGACAACATTGATATTTTAATACACTTTTCCACAATGAATTAGAAAAACGGAAAAAGCAACAAAAGATAAAATAAATTTCATTAGATAATAAATTAATCCATCAATTACATACAAATAAAATATCACAATTAAATTATATAAAAATATTAACATCTAAGTTTAAACTGGGAAAACAATAATTAATTTTATTATTGACTAACTGAATACACAATATGTATATAGAATAAATATATTTTAAATTTACAAACATTTTATATATACTTTAGGTATTAATATTAACTATTAATTTAGATATTCTATTACTGTACATATTTATTAGACATATTACACATTTGTAATTCACATACATTAAATTTTACTAATAAATATATATACTCATATAATGTTATTTATGTTTTGTGTATGAATAACGTAAAATATGATTTAAGTAATCTAAAATGTTGATTTATTAAAATTGAGTTTAAATAATTTCCTTTACCACATCGATAACACACTCTTTACATAAATGCAAATATATGTTATTTTTACTTTTATTTAAAAATATACTATTAAGTTTTTAAACTATGAATATTCTTTTAAATAATAAAAATTAACAATTATTTCATGGGCATAATTAATTTGTTGCATTTTTGTTGATTTCAAACCGTAGGTACGTAACAATCGTAACAATTGATGATAATATGAAATTCAATAAATACAATTTCTATGGGAATCTAACACTTATTACAAAAGTATAACATTATACATCAATATCATGAATTTTGCCATTAGTAACAAACTACGTCATAAATGTATATGTATGTAGTAAAATACGCAATATCTTAGTTTGGTCACGGTTTTCACTATAGATTGATATTAAAATTATTAACATTGAAACTTTGAGAGAAAGACATTGAGTAGGCTACTAACTACAAATGACAGAACTCACTATGAAGATTTTTAATAGTAAAGAAAAAAAAAACAACCTTTTTACCTTTACAATTTCAATTTGACAAATCGAAGAACATATTATTTTAGTTTAAAAGATCTTTTTCGGATTTTTACGTTTGCACAGACACATAAATAATATGTAAGTATAGAAGACTGTAGTAAAGCTATTCAGTTTTGCAGTTTCAGTGGTTTTCATAAAAAAATATTTTAAAAACCTTGAATAAATCGGATACACCTTGGATGAAAAACAAGTGTTAAATAATAAGTATTAAATAATAAAACCATAAAGACGGTAATACGATTGTCCCCTAATTTGATAAAATACATGATTTATTTGGTCCAACCACGGAACTATATGACATAAATAAATATAAATAATAATCAACAAAATAATAATAATCATAAATATTTTTCTGAAGCATTAAATTCATGTTAATACTTTAAACATTGTGGTTTCTGTGATTAGATATCAAAAAAATAAATTTTAAAGTTATAAAATACTCCTAAAAAATTTCACGCTGACTATAAGGATGTTATAACTATAGTTATAATATTAACCTTAATGCAATAGTATCAGAAGTTACGCATAGCCAGGTCAAAATCTACGTAAAATCAACGCGGGTGAGTATGATATGCATTGATCTCGAAAACGGAATATATAGTGATATTTCAATAACGTTTTTCGTCACTAGTACTCATGGTCTAAAAAAGTAAATATACGCATCGTGTGACGAATTTTTGAATTTTTAGGATTGGGTACACATATACGAACGTACAAAGGTATTATGCACGGGTCATCTAAAAGTCGGTCACACAGAATATTTATATATATATATACTATACTATACGAGTGTATGTAGAATATATAATAATGTTGTATATACACATGAAATTGTGTTCACGCTGTATATACAAGCGAACGCGCGCGCACGTACAAATATATGCGTATAAAACCGAGGAGGGTCGTATATTTATTGTTTTCTTTGGTTGTATACGGTTGTCAATTGTGATTACCGCCAACTAGCCGCACGCAGCTAGACTGCGTGGCACCGATATAATATTTTATCACAGCAACGGCACGAACAAATTGACCTTTGTCGCTACGTTTGTAAGCACTTCGCATTAAAAAGGATCGTGAAAAAGGGAAAAAAGGCAAAAGAGGACCTCCAAGACCACCCGCCGGCCGTCACACACACACACATCTGGTTGTACCTATCCACCTACTTAGAAAGCAGCTGGACATTGGCGTCGAGCCGTCTCATGTCCAAACAACGCTAACTGAACTCCGTATAAATCTTTATATATATGTACGTGTAATGTATATGTATGTTATATTATGTATACGTTATACACGTGACTAACGTCGTTTTGTAAATACTCTTCGATAATACCGGGTATTTCGTCTCGGATCGTCGTGCGCACAACTGTAATCGTTTAGATCGTTACGAGTGTGCGAATCATAATAATAATATTAAGTATAATATATTTTCGGCTTACCGTTCGCCTGTCGATTACCTGACGTCCGTGAGAGCGTAAAACGCCAGAAATGGAACCCGATGAGTATTGGAGACGATGATTTGGAGCTATGTGGATAGTACGTTTTGGTATAAAAACTCGGACGGAAAGTGCCACATAGATTGCGATGAAACGCGCATAGTAGACTTTACGGAACCCGTCGTCCGTTGCACAGGTTTATAACATATTTTATTTTACAGAACCACGTAGACCCGATAATTATATTGTATACAAATGAGTGACGTTTTTTGAATTTTCTCCGATCGCCGTTGCTGTCGGTTCATCGACGTATATGCCCATATATATTATTAATATTCAAACCATCTATAGCCTTTGCAATAGCACAGTCGACATGAAGACAGCGGAGAAAACGTTGATCTCGTTTTATACCGTAGAAACGAGTGTTAAAGGGTTGTTAATCGCGTCGTAATTCTACGACGATTCGCGACCTGCGCGCCCTCGTGAGAATTCGAACACGACTTGAAAAATGGCATTCATTCAAGATGATTATTATAATATCCGGAAACGACTGGCATTTTAATCGGTGTCGAAAGTCTTGTGGAATAACAGTTGCAGGTAGATACGGGTGCTAAACCGCCAAGTGTCGGATCAGTCGTTTTCTCGAAAATCATTCCGTTTTCTAGTCGATTCGTGTTCGATCAATACGTAATAAACATGCTTTTGATAGTGTACAATGCATCTAAAATCACGGTCGAACCGTTGGGAGGAAAAAAAAAAAGAAACAAAAACAATTACAACGCATCGCGGCAGATGATCGTCGAACCGAAATCTAAAGACGTCAATCGTACGCGCGGCAACCGCGTTTCAAACGGTTTTCAATACAAAACGCTGGTGCGCGTGTGTGCGCGTGTGGCACGGTCACCGAGAAATGTGGTTTCCAGAAAAACGTAAACCACACCCCCTCCCCTTCCGGTTTGACCAACGAGCGCGACCCCCTCCACGTAGGCATCGGCACGTCCTGTGACCGGACGCCTGTTTGTCTGCCGATTTCCAGGCGGCCGCGGCCGGTCACACGTGTGTGTTTACGTGCCCGCACGGTGCGCCGACTCTACCCTTCGACAACCCTGCGACGGTCATCATTTTGCTATCATCTCCTGTTCCGTCCGGTCGTGTTCATCGCCTGTTCGTCAGTGTTTCAGCGATCCGCGTCCGATTCACATCCATTCCGTGACCGTTGCCGGTGCGACAACACTACCGTTTACGTTCGACGCGTTACCCGTTCGCGGTAGAATTGTTTTTCGGATCGTCATTCGAATTGTTTTGATTACTCACGAGTGCTCACGAGTTCAACTGTGTGTCGTAGCTGTGCGACCTTTTTTTTTTTTTTACACATACGCCGACCGTGTACACACACCCCCGCGGCGGAATACGAGAACCGTCGACCGTCACCAGTGCTCACCATTGCCGTTCTACATGGTTTATGCCTCTGAAACCGCATCGCGGCAACGTTGTGACACGCGATGACGTCGGGTAAGATTCGTTCAACGGTGTAAAATAACCGTATACCGATGATATATGTGTAGATATTTATGCGTGACGGACCGATACCTCGAGAACGGGACACGGTTCTCAGGGACAGCTCCCTTCGTCTACCGTCATCATTGGAATTTCACAATTTCTTCGGGTACCACAATAATATGATGATATTATTTTGTAGACGCATAGCTTTTTGTATTCGAGAACAGGCATTTGCTCGCAAGTGAAGTTTTTATACCTAATAAGAGTTTTAGCCATATGTAGTAGAGTAGTAGAATTTTGAATCTTTCATTGCAATCGCCGATTCGCATGTCATTTAGTTGATTATTATTCGGTAAGAATATTTCGTCCCGTCTAAGACAACTGTATAGAATATATTATTGTATGGATATGTCGTTTTTGGTTGGCTCCGGTAGATGCGCTTTTGAATTTCTCTTTTGAATTCGAAATGAAAATAGCCGCATAGTGACGTATGGACCAACCGCGCGTTTAAGTCGTTTTCAAAACTCGTGGTTAAATAATATTATAAACGTTTACACCACTCATACATAAAGTTGTTCGGATTAAATTACTATATAATTTACACAAATGTTTAACTCTTTTGCTTGGCTTAAGTAAACAGTTATTTTTTACCCTTTTTATATACCCAATCTGTGAACACGTGTAAACCATGTACAAAACAAACGGCCTTTTTAAATAATCGTCATAGCATGTGTTTATTGCCATCATTTCACCCAATTTTTTTTTAAACTGGTTCGGTCAATGAAGGTCGGAAAAGGGTTTTTATAAGGAAAGGTTTAATACTAGATAACTGTATACACTGTTGTACTTCAACATTCAATAATTTAAGAACATAATCGTTAAATTCCATTAAATTATAAAGCACTGTTATACAATTGGATATTTTTACAATATTCGTATGTTTGTAAACATGTGCATCCTTTATTTAGTATCCATATCCTTTTGGTTTATTGTTTTGCAAATCTAAAATTTGATACCTCACGCCATTTGGCCATATCGTAATGTATGATTTTCCTCGTTGTGTCCAAGTGTGTACTAAGTGTCTACTTAAGTAAATTTCTATTTAAATATATTATATTTATATTATTTAATTTAGTAAGTTACTATGAGTAAATTTCTTTTCAAATTTAGGTATGATGATTATCTTATTGTTGTTAATGACCATGTTCCTACGGACCGGGTTGACGGCTATCGTCGGTTTTGAAGCAGTGGAAAACCATTTACTTATGAAATTAGGTAAAGTAAATTGTTCGCAACAATGTGATCGTGTAGTATCATAAATATACGAAATGCTTGAATGTTTTTGGATTATGATACTTTTGTTTCAGGTATGAACCGAAGACCCGTGGCAGACAAGAACGTTAGGATACCGTCTGCGACGATGAAACTTTACAGAGCGATGCTGGAAGAAAACACGATGACAACTCATTTTCCTCTTCCCGGTTTGCACACGTCGTCGGCCAACACTGTTAGGACTTATCCCGACCAAGGTAATAAAATGTGTTGTTAACGAACGATTGTACACGAATACTATGCACGTATGTATTTTGTGGAAAATGACATTACGCATTATATGATATTACGAACGAAAACAAAACGCGTGCATTTAATATGTACATTATTGCTAAACGCTGTGAGCGCATTCCACTCACAAGGTCTATGGTGTTTTACTCGGATAGTGATGACAATGTTTTCGTTACGTTTTTATACGCAAATAGGTTCGGTTCCGAGCAATCCAAAGTCTCAGAGGTACCGACTGCAGTTCGACATAAGCGCTCTGCCGGAACGGGAGCGAGTCAAAGCGGCCGAAGTCCGTATTACGATGTCGTTCGATTCGGAACGTCGACGCGACGACGAATTCGTCCACATACTAGTGCACGATATTGTGAAACCAGGCGCGAGAGGCCTGTCGAAACCTACGCTCAGGTAATTATCGATTAAAATAAAGAAAGAAAATCGGGCGGACCGCTATAACGCGATTCACCAACGAACACCGCTAATATATGAGAACATGTCATCATTATACGGTTTATTGATTTCTGATCGACTATTTCTGTTGTAGACTTATGGATTCGAAATCGTTACGTTTATCGTCTTCGACGTCAGAATCGCAGGAAATCAGTTTTGACGTGACGCCCGCCATGGAAAGGCTGTCCGAGACGAACTTCGACGAGAATCACGGCGTGCTCATTGAATGCGTTACGGTGTCCGGTAGTCGGACGCGGTTAATCGACGTGTTCGATTTCCGTTCATCTGCAAAACCGTTATTAATGGTCTACACCGATGACGGAACAAGTAAGGACGACGATACACATAATTACGTTAATTGATAAATAATGGGGATTCGCGTAGACGAGACGCGCGGGCTTTCCAAAACGCAAGTTGTTTTCGTAATCTCGCCGCGTCGCGCGTAGTAACATTTTTCGAACGCTCCGAGGAAAACGTGCACTAGATCCGTACGAGACTCCGTTGTAAGTCAGGCAGAGTGAACTGAGGGTCGAGGGGCCTGGAGAGTTAATCAAATACACCTAATATTACGACATTTATCCTAGTAAACATTTCCAGTTAATGGTGCTCAACTCATCTTTTGTGTACTTTTTGCACAACAATGTTCAGTACAAATTACGAAACAAAAGTAAAAAATACACATTCAATTTCGTACCCCAAAGTGTGTACAATTTTTATTAATTAAACCCCGGTTTGTTCCATTGCCTCTCTGACCAGTTATGATTTCCACGCGAAACCCGATTGGTTTTCGACGAAAATAATCGTACAAAAGGTGCACGCATAAAAATTTACTCGGTACGTATGCTGAAAAGTTCATTTTTTTTTCCAAAGCAATCGTCCTCGATCCGTCGCGAATAAATATCAACGTCCGGCGTGCATCGCACATACACCACGCAGCGACGGTGCCGTGCTGACCTTCCCCCTCGCCCCGCAGGACCCGTCCAAATGTTCCGCTTGTCCCGCGTTCACGTGACTACATATCGGGCGCGCGTACGCAAGGGGGGGTGTTTACGAATTCAAACCTCCCCCATCCCGAAATTCAGGAAAATCACTAAATATTATTTTTACGGAGCAAAAGTGATTTATTGATTTATGTATGACCCCTAAACACCTTCTCCTCCCAAAAAAAAATGTTTTTTGCTTGCGCGCCGCGTAAACCGGTGCCGACAACGTGGTTAATCGACAACATTGTTGACGCAGGCCAGAGGAATGCTTTAGCGGACGTGACGCGACGCACCAAGAGGTCGGCGGACGAGCCGAAGAAGAAACCGAAGAAGAAGAAAATCTGTCAGAGGCTGCCACTGTACGTGGACTTCAGAGACGTGGGGTTCAGCGATTGGATCCACGCGCCGCAGGGCTACGACGCGTATTACTGCCACGGCGAGTGCACGTTCCCGCTGGCCAACCACATGAACGCGTCCAACCACGCGGTCATGCAGACACTGATGAACTCCATCAACCCGTTGGCGGTGCCCAAGGCGTGCTGCATACCCACCAAATTGAGGCCGGAGACGTTGCTGTACGTGGACGACGACCAGAAACTGGTGATGAAGACCTATCCGGACATGGTGGTCGACGAGTGCGGGTGCAGATAAGACCGGCCGCCGGTGCGTACCAGTGGAACGCGATCGGGCACCGCGGCGGTTTGCGAGACACGACCGCTACGGTCGACCTGCGCGTGTGTTTGTTACGGTTTGAAATCGAAGTTTTCCAAAAAATTGTCAAAACCCTATTTCTCGGGACAATGCGGTGTTATTGATTACCGCCGCGGTTAACCGGACCGAGTGACGTCGGTGACGGACTCTAGGTGACCACGTCTGAATTATAGTGATATGCGTGTGTGCGAACTGTACTGCCAACGGTAACACGTTGTGCAAATATTAGCCCTGCGTGCCAGTGTTCATGAAATGTAAATAATAAAAAAAAAAAAAACATAACGTGTCAACGCTTATAATGTTATCATCAAAAATATAACGTAAATATAAATATTACATATCTAGTCTAAACAAACACAATAGGTATGTTCCGACGCTGATTATTGTAATGCGATCTTCCGCGAGGATATTGCTTTATAAAATCATGATAACGAAAACCCAATTTTGTACTTGTTACTATTCCTACTGTTTAAATTATTTATTTATATTTTGTTTTCGTTGTTGTTTTATTAAACGGTGCCGTGTTTACTAGGTACTGTTCACATTGTATTTCAAAAAATTGTATAATTTATTATTTAATAAATCATATGTTATATTAAATATGTTCGCCTTACGGCGTTAATTCCATTATTGTTTTATCCTTTTATATTAAGCTTGTTTCGGATTGTGCGTATTAATGTTTCGTTCGGGCTTATCGACCACACGTATGAGGTACAGTTTGGAATTGGTGTAGGATGCGAAATTCGCCTTATTCGCCGCCAGTGGCGTATACAAGGGGGGTGTTTGGTAGATATGACACCCCCCTTGAGCCGTATCAAATATTACATTATTATAGGAATATAGGTAAATCGATAATACAATATGAAATATAAAATAATGCACAATACTAATTACATATATATATAGGTTAACATTATCGCGATTGCGACAATACGTGACGAAAATTATTCGTTTACGTTTTCGTGCAACACAAAACGTTTAATAATAATAGGTATTGTAGCATCGAGTACTGACATTCGAATAGTCAAATATTCGAATAATTTATGGTAAAGCTATCCGAATTCGAATATACATTACATCTCTATTACAGACATTATGTATACATATTAATTAATTAAAATAAAAGTTTTAGTTTGTACGTATTATATATAATATTTAATAATTATAATTAACACCCCCCTTCAGAAAATCCTAGCTACGCCACTGTTCGCCGCGATGCATTAGTGATGACAAAAGTTAACAAATATGATGTTATATATGTCATGATCAACTGTGTATTTTTTACTCCAAACAAAAACTAATCTACTGCAGAATGGTGTTAAATACCTACTTATTATCATAATTACGTTTATATTATTTATAAGGTAATTATTTTATGGAATAATTTAAACTCTAAACTAAAAAAATATAAATTAATGAAGTTTAATGCATGCAAAGACAAAACTTTGGATAAAGTGTTAATTAGAATATCCACAGCAAAACGATGAGCAGATTATAAAAATAAATTTCTATTGAATTCGTTGATCGAATGGCACACAAATACAGGAATTAAAGGTTCGTGAGGACCAGGAGTGCGTCGCTTTTGCGACGAATAAAAAGTAACGTTTCGTTTTTCCAGAACCATTATCTAGATCGCACTACGTGTAAGAGAGTCATGATTTCGCCTATATAATTCTACAATAAATTAATCTTATTTTTAAGTGGAACGAGTAAAATTAAGTAAATTTTAAGTCAATAATAAGGAACTTTTGGAATCAAACCGTTCATACATCTCAGTACATGTGAAACTACTCTAATAAATAATAACAAACGAACATAAATTAAAGAGAAAAAATGTTACTAAATCTTATTGCCTTGGCATAGTCTCTCGTGTTCGTTAAGAAACTTTTTTTGTTTGTAGGTTTTTTTATTCATCCTCCGGTGCAAATCTATGACTTATAGTTAATCAATGCGAACTTCTATTCGTTATATGATAAGCAAATTATGATTATTCACAGGGCTCAAAATGGACCGGAACGCAGTTCTGGTTCACGAAAAAAATTTTTTTTTGCGTTCCGGTTCGTAAAAAAATAACGTTTATCGTTCCGGTTCAAACAAATTTTTAGTGTACCTACCATATTTTGGTAAATTTAAACATTTTGCAAAATTGTTCATTGTAAAATATTTAATAAATGTCAAATGACCGCCATGCATAAGTACATTTATTGCTTATCTATACGATAATCGCCGTCCGCTGATAGTGTATTTTAGCTTTATTTACACAATACGTATATGAATTTTAAAAGTTAAAAATAAAGCATTATACCGGGTTCAAACTATTAAAATTTCTTATATGTTTTTTCCCGCATGCTTATTTTTACTCGCACAAGAACAAAATTTAACAAATGTGAACATTTATAATACGTATGCAAGCTCTTGCATGCTCAAACTTGCATGCAGTCCAACACGTCGGACAGAAGTTGAATGCAATTCGGTGATTTTAGGCCAGTTTATTCCCGAACACGAATATTGAACCTCGTGATCAATGTGATTTCTTAATTCAAAACAAACTATTTGATTTGCCAAAAAATATTTCTTCTACTAATTCATTGTCGAACCTATAATTTTTTTTTTTAAAGCTCTTGCTTCTTTTCTAAGATTTCTTTACGAAGCATATCGCAAACAATAACTACTCCTATTTTGTTTGATCCATTTAACAGTCTCGTTAAAAATTAAAAAAAAACAGCACTTCTAATCGCGATCAGATCACTTTTGAAACTAAACAATATTTAAATACATACAAGACTAAATAAAAATATACATGCATATATATGAATAGAGCTCTTAAAACACGAATCACGGAATTCACGTGTACACGTGAAATACGTGTTTATCCAAATATATATTCATTTTTATAATGATGAAAATTTGTAATTTTATGTTATGCACTTGAAGTTTTAATAAAATATTATTAGTGCAGTATTAAGTTGAGATTATACGTTGTTATGTTGGATTTTACACGTAACACGTGATATGTGAATTCACGTGTATTAAGAACTCTATTTGTGAAAATGCACTTTTTAATATTTAAATACATTTTTGATTTTTATATGAAATTTTTATTTTTTCGATCGATTATCGTTTGATAATACAGACTTAAAAAAATTGTATTATTAGTCGTTATTAATCAATATAAAATTATATTTTGCATATTTGTAACTATTGGTAATTTAGTTTGTTAGTTGTTTATAGTTATAGTAGAACATTTAGTTGATTTATACGACGTATCACATCACTTTCTGAAATATTATACTGGTTGAACTTCGATATCGAATTCGAACGAATTAAATTTATTTATTCATTGGCATTCTGATTTTAGGTTTCAGATTTTGTTTCAGAAAAGTACCTGTCTAGAACAATACAATCAATTACAATTATTATTAATTATTATTAATCAATTACAATGATGAATAATGTATCAATGGTGTCTGGCAAACCGAGTGCAGGAGATGCTATGAGTAATGGCAACAACTACAATCTTTCATTTCCAGCTTTGCCAGTTTTGAAGACTTCGGAGACAAATGGAACTGCACAATTTAAAAAACGGAGTAATTTCAAATCTTCAACGGTGAACGAAGTAATTTATCATGCCATTTTAATAGTAATTAATAAGTATTAGATCGATCAGTATGATATTGACTTGTAACACGGTCGCATGTCAGTGCGATTATAATTTACCCGTTCCGTAACCGTAATTTTAATTAAGTTACTTTATTAGTTTATTTAAGTTAAGTTAGTTAGTTCAGTTTACGGTATTATACGAGTATTCACGGTATTATATATCGTATTTATGCGACTTCATTTTCAAGATGGACAACATACCCTCTCCGTTTACTACCAAACCCAAACGGTCGCTGCTATCATAGCATAATTCTCCAATCCATACAGGGAAAAACACTAAACCATGAGTTTCGCCTAATCGTTTCGCTGTCTTTTCGAGCGAAGTGGACAAAGAAATCAAACTCGACACCTCCTATGACGTACATAATATAACCAAAGAATCTATTGTTTATCATCAATATAAAAACATCAGGTCACTATATATATCAGATGCCCTATTGGAATTAGATTCCCGCAAAAGAATTACGAATGTTATTCAAAATGGCCACACGCTTCCGCTGTTCATTGTTGCAATTAATCCAAATACAATTTTTAATGAATCATCAATGTTGCACACTAAAATTTAAGTTGAATTACCCATTAAGATTTATAGTGATTCACCTCAGTGTCTAAATTGACATAGCTACGGTCACTCTACGCTAACTATTAACATCACCATACCGGAAATGATGGTGATCCTTCATCCTTCACGCTGTGTTAAACGCAGGGGAAATCACTCTTGAAACAGTTACATTAAAGAGAAAGGCAGTTTAACCAAGTGCAGCTTTTGCGCGGGTGATCATACTTCCAACTATAAAGGTTGTTCTAAACATGAATTACTTCTTAAACGTCGCAAAACAACCTACTTGTAATCATCAAAATAAAAATATTGTACTCACGTCTCTTTTTATCAAATTTTTTTCCAAAGCTTCTTGCGCCTCCATCACTGGTTCTAATAATATCCTATTACCAAATAGTCCTATGGACGATATACCGTTTTCCAATTTATCTCAGATCATCTGGCATTAATAAATCTCATATTTACCCTTCTTTTATAATTACAGCTCTTCTACGCAATCACCTTACTCCTAAGCCCAAATTCTTTTCTACTTTATTCTTTTAAATGATCACGTCTTTAACCAGTTTATATGTTATCTGTTACTTTTAAATTTTAATTGGTCAATCAAAATCAACTCTTATTTTATAATTATCTCAAATTATTATATTTTACTAATATTATTTTATGATAATGATTAGTGTATATTAATGTTAAAATGCATACTTAGTTATCTTACATGATTTAATTGTTGAGCTATAATAAATTTGTGTCAAAAGTTAAATAAAAAATAACATAAAAATTATAGAACGATAATTTACATATTAAAGAACATCATTATTATGATTTAAATAACATTTTTCTATATGAATAGTAATAGTTTAGAAAGTTGTTGATTTATATCTAAAATATAAATAAAAAAAAATATCTTAATTTTTATTTTGTAAAATTTGTAGATAATTACTATACCTGCCCAAGACAGACATTGGGACAGGAATAGTCAATTAGAGCACGAAAAATGTAAAGAAGCATATATGAAAATTGGGAAAGAGTATAATGTAGGAATAGAGATTTGTATTTCAAAAACCATGGATCTTACTTTACAAATCAGCGGCAATAGAGTTAATGTTGAACGAGCAAAACAAAAGATTATCACAATCGAACAAACTCAAGTAAATAAGTTTTAATTAAGTTGGAATTAATAAGATAAACTGATAAAAATAATATTTATTATATATATATATTATATTGTTGTGTACAAATTATGAATAATTTATTATTATTATTATTATTTTTTAATATTATAATATATAAATATGCATAATAATTTAAAATGTTTAATGAATCATTTGTTATTTTATAGTTTTATTACGGATAAATAAATAAAAAATATTTTTTTAGCAATTTTAACTAAAACATTAAAATTTCAGATTAAAACTACTACTACACCGTTTCCAAAAGAACATCGAAGTATGTTATTGGGCAAACAAGGACTTAATCTTAAGAATATTGAAAAACGTACAGGAGCACGTCTTCAAATACCGTGTATGAAAAATTCAGCTGACATAATTTATATAACCGGAACAAAGGATTCCACGAAAAAAGTAGTTCAAGTATGTATCAAAAATATGTTTTAATGAATCGGAATTTAAGTTTAACACATTAAAGTGAATTAATTTTCGAAAAGAATGGCTAGAATGAATAGGTTGGAGAGAAATTGACAAAATAGATAATGCCTATTTTTAAAGTGGTTAATTGTGACCGTACTAGTTTATTTATTTTATTAATTAAATTAAAATTAAATCTTTTAATAAATATTTGAAAATTTCACGATTTCTAAATTAAAATGCCGATAATTTTTATTATACTTTTATAGTAAAAATAAATTAATGAGGATTTTAATATTGACTTTTGATATAACAATATATGAATACAATGAACTTTTAATTTTAATATTACTTATAAGTTTAAAAGTTTTTAAAAGGTTTCTGATATGTTTGTTTTTTAGAAAAAAATTTACAAGTACTCGTATTATGTATTAACAAAATCGGATATTTTAATAAATTTCCACCAAATAGTTTCTTTCGTAATTTTTTAATAATTAAAATTTTTGTTAGGAATTGGAGGAAATTATAATTAAATTGAAAAGTAAAACTGAAAAAGAAATAAAAATTGATCAACGTCACCACGGAGCGATGATTGGTTTCAACGGTGAAAAAGTTCGAGAACTTCAGAAAATATTTAATGTTAAAATTATATTCCCCAGTCCAGGTAATTAATAGTATTAATATGTTTGTATTTTTTGTATTTTGAGAGTTTATAAATAATATTTGGTTCGATATTTTAGCTGAGGCTAGAAATAATTTGGTTAAAATACAAGGTTTGAACGATGATGTAAATAAAGCATTTAAATCATTAGCTGAATTGGCCGAAGTATTGGATGAAATCAACTATGTGTTGGAAATTCCTATTTTTAAACAATTTCACAAACTTAGTGCTAAAAAGAGAGCAATATTTATTAAAAAGGTAATTATTATTTATTAACTTTTGTGATTCGACCTTTAGAAATATTGTTAATTACATAATTTAATATTCTAGATTAGAGAAGAGACTGATACGAGAATTTTTTTACCACGCGAAGGAGACAATAAGGATGTTATTAAAGTCATGGGAAATAAAAGAAAAGTTATAATCGCTTATGATATGATTAAAGAAATACAAAATGAAATTGTTGGTTTTTTATAAAGATTATTTATTTTTCAATTTTATTATTAATTTATCAATCATGTATTTTTAGGGAGACATAATAACAAAGGAAATGGTGTTGGGAAATGTTAAAGTTAGAAATGCCATTGTAAATCTTGGGAATAAATTCATTCAATCTATAAAAGAAGATTGTGGGGATAATGTGACATTGAATTTACCAACTGTTAAAGGAGATAATGTAAGAATATACTTATTTATTAAACTTATAAATTAAAATGACAATTTAACCAATTTTATAAGTTATTATATGCGTGATATACGCTTAGACATCGATTCGAACCTGGCCTCTGGCAGTTTCTCTCTTTGAGCAAGAAACGATTGTCTCAAGAGATGAAACAGCTTCTCCTCCCCTAATACAATAAGTAAATTTTCAAGAAAATTTCCCAAATGCTAAAATCTATTAAAAAAATAACAAACCGTTATTTTAAAGCTAAACTTTTATTCATAGACTATAGTTATCAAAGGACCTGAAGATGATGTTAAAAATGTTATTACACAAATTCAGACAATGGTTGATGAAGTTCATAAATATGTGTTTGATATGAAAGTAAATCCGAAGTTTCACAAATATTTAATTGGAACAAATGGAGACAATGTTAAAAAGGTATGTTGTTAAAATAATTTAATATAAGGGTACAATGTGTTCATTTATGGTTTAATTCTTGGATTCCAGATCAGACATTTAACGAATACAAGAATAATTTTCCCGTCTGAAACAGATTCCACTAATGAAAATATAACTATTGTTGGTAAAAAAGAGAATGTTAATAAAGCAAAAGCAAAATTTGAAGTTATGATAACCGATATTGGTAAAGTCATCGAAGGACATGTAGAAATCAATGAAAATAATCATGGCACTTTAGTTGTCAAACAAAAAGAATGTATACACAAATTGGAAAATGAATGTGGCGATGTTAAAATTGAATTTCCTAATCTTGGTGCTGGAGATAAAGTTGTGATCAGTGATAGTAAAGCAGATGTTGCTCTTTCTAAACAAAGACTTTCCGACCATGCTAAAGTTTTGGTATGTATAATTCAATACAAAGGCACGTGTATTAAACTACCCTGTCTATTTTTTATTGAAATTGTATTGAGGTGATATTTACATAATTGATCATAGTTTTTTTTTACAATAATGAACTATTGATATATATGACATATAAAATGAAACAATTTAAGATAAAAAATTAAAATAATCATCGATGTAACTAAACATAACTAAATAAGTTAACCATTTTTTTTTTTTAACAATTTAATTTATTTAAATAATAGATATACCAGAATCATAATACAATAATAATAATTATAATCTCGTAATACATTAAAATGTTATAGAAAAACATAATTGAAGTGACTATGAACGTTCCTCCAAAATATCATGATCATTTTGTTGCCCACCACTCTGATATAATAAACCAGATAAGTGGGAAACATAATGGAGTTACTATTAAATTTCCACAAGCTAGTTCCAATTCAAGTCAAGTTTTGATTAAAGGCCACAAGGATTATGTTGAAAAAGTTAAGAATGAAATCAATAATATTATTATTGACTTGGTAAGTTGTATACCAACACTTATTGTTTCATCGTTAAATTATTAATCAATAATCGTGTTACACAGCGGCGTAGCAGTGGTGCAGTGGATGCGACGCACCGAGGCCCTCGTGATTTGGGGCCCTTAATTCAAAAGAAAACTAATATGAAAAAAAATAGAAGCTTGCGTTAACTACAATCAATTTTTTATTTTGATTTTTGGTATAAATAAATAATGAAAACATTTTTACGTCTTTTATTGTTTGATTAGTCAAAATAATTAAACTAATAAATTGAAATTTAATTATAACGAAATAAAATATATTTAATACGATTAGTATTAAAATAAAATAAAATATATTTAATACGATAAACTTAATATAAAAATTAATATATTAACAAACTTATTGTTAAATTTTTTATTTAGGAATTATATAATTTGTCGATTTGAAGAGTAATGGTAATATGAGTATATAGACGTAAAGTAATTTTAATTTCATATTATTATAGTTTGAAAAGAAAAAAGGAAAAAATTATTTAACTTATTAAAATTCAAACTTATCAAACTTCTTGGGTTTTCACACATACAAAGTATATATTTGCATGAATCCTTAGAAATGTGATATTTTAGAACAAGACCGGTATGGGTTACCATTCATTTATAGTTATTATGTAATTTAAAAATAAACCAACCATTTTAGTTTTATTTTATTTTTATTTTTGTAAATGGGTATGAATAGAAAAATAATAGAATGTTTTTCCTTTCAAAGTCTTAGTTTTAAAAAAGTTAAATATTTTTATCAAATAACTAAATAACAAAAATCAAATATTTCTAATGAAATAAAAACAAAATATTTTATTAAATTATTTTCATGGAAAATTTGAATTACATAACACATATACTATTTATATGTTATATACTAGGGGTTTCTAAACTACGGTCCGCGAGCCGGATATGGCCCGTGAACAAGTTTTAAACGGCCTGCAGCACCCATAAGACGGTAAATAAAATATAGATATCTAAATATATGTGTAATTTAAAAAGTCGTTATCGCGGGCACGTATCATAATTTATGACAACAGACATTGCAATTTCCTTTTATATTTTTAGTTTTAACGTCGATAATGGAGAGATTAGTCACATAGACGAGTGGCACGACGAAATCATTTCATAACGTTTGTACAGTTACATGTCTAAGTTTGCAGTGCCTTTATTATAAATATTATTCTTTACCTATTAATTCACCAATTCGAGATGTCAGGAAGAGGATTGAAAAAGAAAATAGATTCAGAATGTCGTGTTTTCAATGAAAAGTGGTCGTTGGATTATTTCGTAATTTATTCAGGTGATAAAATAATTTGTTTAATATGCAAAGAAAGTATTTCTGTATTTAAGGAGTACAATATTCAAAGGCATTATGAAACAAAATATAAGACAAATTTTTCAAAATTTACTGAAAAATTACGGTTAAATAAATTGCAGTCACTTCAAAATAATTTTTCATCACAACAATCATTATTTAAAAAACAAAAAAATATTAATGAAGCTGCTACAAAGGCTAGTTTTCGTATTTCACATCTATTGGCAAAAAGAGGAAAAGCATTTTCTGATGGTAGTTTAATAAAAGAATGTATTATTCAAGCAGTTGAAGAAATTTGTCCAGAAAGAATTGATACTTTTAAAAAATATTAGCCTTTCTGCTAACACAGTTACCTGTAGAATTAACGATAATAGTAATACTTTAAATTCTCAGGTTAATAATAAGACTCAAGAATTCATTTCGTTTAGTATAACACTTGACGAATCATCAGATGTATCTGATACGTCACAGTTACTTTTATTTATTCGAGGTGTTAATAAAGATTTAGAAATTTCAAATGAACTACTTTCTGTAAATAGCATGCATGGAACTACGACAGGTATCGACATATTTAAAGTTATCGAAAAATCATTTTTAAAATATAATTTGAAGTAGGAAAATTTGAAATGTATCACTACTGATGGCGGAAGAAATATGTGTGGCACAAAAAAAGGTTTAGTTGGACAGATATTTACGAATTGTAAAAAAGAAGGTTTTAAACCAATGATTTTGCATTGTATTATACATCAGCAGGCATTATGCGCAAAAACTTTAGACTTATCTTGTGTTATGGATCCAATAATATCAACAGTAAATTTTATTCACTCGAACGCACTTAGGCATCGTCAGTTTCAAGATTTTTTGAAAGAAATAGAAACAGAGTACCCAGATATACCGTATTTTACAGCAGTTCGATGGCTTAGTCGCGGAAAAGTCCTATCGCGATTTTTTGAACTAAGAAATGAAATTGAAATATTTCTAATTGATAAGAATCGACCATTTCCTTTACTTATAGATAGTGAATGAGTTTGGAAATTAGCTTTTTTAGTGGATATCACAAAATATATGAACGACTTCAATCTAAAATTACAAGGTAAAGATGTTCTGTTAAATTTGCGATATTTACACATTAGTAAAAGCATTTAGGCAAAAACTTATTTTATTTGAAACGCAAATTTCAAAAAATTGTTTTATTCATTTTTCTACTTGTGATAAATATAACAAAGAATCAAAAACACAATTTCCAGTCGACTTCGCTCAAAAAATAATTTCTGAACTTAAAATCCAATTTAAACAACGTTTTACTGACCTTGACGTAAAATCGGAAGAAATAAATATTTTTCAAAACCCGTTTGATTGTGATATTGAGAAGTTACCTCCTACCCTTCAAATGGAAATGATTGATTTACAAAGTAATGATGCACTGAAAATCAAACATCGTGAAGAGACTTTAGTTGATTTTTATAAATTTCTCCCAGATATACACTATCCAAATTTAAAAAAATTTGCAATTGAATATATATCTGTATTTGCTACGACTTATTTGTGCGAACAAACTTTTTCTAAAATGAAATACATCAAATCAAAATATAGATCGACCATGACTGACAAACACTTGGAGTCAATTTTGAAAATTGGAACTAGCAACATACAACCTCAATTCGATCGAATATTAGCAGAAAAACATCAATTTCATACTTCTCGTTAAAAAAAAATTTATTAAAATTACAATGTAATAATATATTATTATCATTTAAATTTATACCAATTATATTTAAGTATATTGTAGACTATATTTTATAAAAAGATTTAAAGTTAACTTATATTTGTATACGTGTATATGTGTTAATAAACTTTTGGCCTGCTAAGAGCATTTGATATTTTTTGTGGCCCTTCAATAAAAAAGTTTGGAAACCCTTGTTATATACTAATAACATTTTCTTCAGTGCGATAAAATGTTATTTATTATTATTATTATTATGATTAAGTAATTTATACTGTAATACAACAATTTTGAAGGAGGTTGACTCTCCTAAAATGAGTTTCTCATCTTCTCTAAATTAAAAATCTTTACAATAATTCTAAAATGTACTGTTTCATTTATTACATTTTTAGTTTTTAAATTTCTTTCGAATATATTTTTATTTAATTTAATGAATATAAATAATAGTATAGTAGGATGTTTATGGATATCAAAATATTATATATACATGTACATTATTAGCAGTTATATTTCATAATTAAATCTTTAAATAATATTATAATATTATATTATATTATAATATATTATAAAATAAATGAGGTTAACTGTACATTGTAACTTTGATTGATAGATTTATTTAGTAATTTAAAGTATAAACATTTGAAATATTGAAAGAAAGTTACCGAATACAACTAATAATGATCGATTTACATGTATTATAATTCATAATTATCTATTGAGTAATTAGCTCTAAAATTTAGATGGAAGGCAAAATTAACCATAAAATATAATTATAATGTCTGAATTTCGTATAACTGTGCTATTGTTGCTTACTATTCTGTACTATATGTGTTTTAATTATTTAAATATTGGGTTCAAAATTATTTAAAAAATGATATTTACCAAATGTTGTGGCTTTTCTAAAATATTAGGTTGTTGAAATTTCAACACATTTCATCTTCAAAATCTTGTTATGCCCACGAGTGTCTTGACTACAATTCGTATAAAATATTATCAACTAGGTACCTTGGGAAAATTTTAAATTAATAGTTACACAATTAAAGTTAATACAAGAGAAGTTTATAATTGAAAAAGGAAAAATATCTGTGGTTAACCGCTATGGATTCATCTGTTATGTGTTCAATAGCTTTTAAATGCCTTACATGAACTATTTTTTTTTTAAAATTTATAGATTCGCAATAAAATGTAACAATAATAATTATTAGATTGACCGTATATCATATTTGGGTCAAATAAGTATCACATCTTCCATATAAATGTGAGTGTCTATGTATCCATAGACCTTTTCTCTTATCAATCATTATTATATTTTAAGCAACATTCAAATAATTTTTTACATACTTAGTTAAAGTTGACCATTGGGTTTACATAACCATTGTATTTTAAACACATTAATTACTTTACTATTGTTTATAAATCGTAATTTTTAAGTTATTATTCAAAATTTATACATCAGTGATTATATAGTTATTTAGTAAATCAATCTTCTATTTTGTATCATATCCTATGCAGTACATCTATATATAACCAATTATTACTTGAACATTGTCAATGAATTAATACATATGTAATTGGGTTTTCAAACTCGCTTCATCCACATGAATGAATTAATAATTATTTTTACGTAATAAAATAGTACAGACATTTTAAAAACTTTGGTTTTGAGTATTTATACTCTGTTACATAATGGTTATAGTATAACCACAATTTATTATACTCCACTTTACAACTGTTATGTTGTTATTATATAATCTAAAACCATACATCGGAGGCACCGGAGTACAAGTTGACAGCAACTAGATGGCACTGTTGTTTGAACGAATTACTTTCTATAACATTGATTTCTACGATTTGCATACGTGCTGATAATAGTCAACTCTCGACGATACTATCAGTATCTGTCCAACAGACTTTCGAATACGATGCCTTTCGCCCACATCACTCGAGTCGAGAAGTTTAGCTCTTGTCACCGACTCCACAGGTAGTATACTCGTTTCTACATACCATTATTGTTGTTGTTGTGTTTTCAATAAAACAATATCATATTATGTATATTGCCGCTTAATGTATATTTCCTTGTGTTGCTACGTTGACTTATGTAATTATTTCATTAAAAGACAAAGATACCGACTACAAAGCAAAAAAATTATTGCTTTTAGACTATTAGATGAACTTGGTAGCTTGTACACGGGATTTATAAATTGAGAGGTAACTTAAATACAATTATTGGCAAAAAAACAAAAAAAACATTATCTACCACATTATTATATTTCTAATCATAGCTAGTGAATAATCGTATTAAATTAATTAATTAGTTAAAATATTAATGACATTTAATAAGTGTTTGATTATTATAAGAAAATGAGGAGGGAAGATACCAACAAACCACTTACCCTATGTTTATACCATTGGATAAATGAATATTTATAAAATATATATTTCATAAAATATGTACAAGTGTTTCAATAAAAAATTATGTATCAAAATGCGTATATCTAGGATGGTGCATTTTAAATTATTTTCCATGGGAAGAAAGGTACTTAGGTAAAAATGATGTATTAAAAAAATGTAATATAATTCTATTTCTAACTGAGTTACCGCTTATTTTAATTTAAGTTTCAAATAAAATTTTATAAAACTAAAATCACTTACCAACTACTAAATGTGTATCTATAGCTAACGAAATAATGCCGTTACGCGATGACATGAAACCGTCGCCGCATCTATGAGTGTATACAATTATAAGCTAAGAAGGGAGGACCTTAGTATTTCCATTTGGACGTATATAATGAAAACTAATAATTTATTAACTTTGTGTTTTTTTTTTCGTGGTCAAAATCCGATCCTCCAGTAATTCCTATTTTATTGGTATTTGGTTTTTTTTAATACGCTTAAGTAGGAAAGATATGTGTAATGTACAGTGTGCCGATGTATGGATACATATATACATCTGAGCAGCATAAACGGTATTATAAAATTGTATTTAACGTAGATACCTACCTCGTCGAAAATATTATTATCTCCAACAAAATGATTATTTTAATTTATTTTAGTGACAAATTAAGCGATGAAGAAAACGTAAAGATTTTTGGTAAATGTAACAACAAAAATGGCCATGGACATAATTATAAAGGTATTGAATTTTGAGTTTTCCTCTATAGCATATATAGTTACATAGTATTAATGCATCGTTATAATTATTAAAAAAATAAAATCTTATAATTTATTTGATTTAATTTATTTGACAGAACATAATCTATTAACTTGCAAAGACTTTCTGCTTACAAACTCAAATAACTATAATATTCTTAATAGTTTTTGTAAAGTAATAAAGTTAATTTTAAATATAACTCAGCAAAACACATCCTTTTTTTTAAGGACTTTACTATATTTTTCTCAATATATCTAGTACATATATATATTATATACACAATATTACATTTTTTTCAATATTATCAGTTACAACCACTCCGGTTAAAAGGTTTTTTACTCTTAAGAGTATAAAAACTTACCTAAGAAATTAAATTTGTGAAGATAGATTTAATGACCTAGAACTAATAAATATATATATAGATACAGATTTAGACATAGAATCATAAATAATAATAATCGATGTTTTTGCCAAAAAAAAAAAAAAAAAAAAGACGTTTAAATTTTAAATTATAAATTTAGAATACGATTTTAATAAGATAATTTTATTATAATAATTTAATAAATTATTTATATTAATATATATAAATTCGTTGTTTACAATTATGTTACTGTATTATTAGGTGCCTATGTTAAATATATAGCTTATACTATAGTTGCCTACATGAAACATGAATCTTTGAGTGGCTTTGATTTGGGTGAATTAATTTGAAATTCACATCATTAGGACGAAAATTATACGGTCCTCCTATATGTCTAGTTACTAGACTCTAGTACATAATTTGGATGAATTTTTATATACCTATTAATGAAATTTATATGGGCTTATACTTTTTCCTTCCCATTTTTAGAGACTTAGGACTTTCAATTAATTTTATTCGATATGATTAAAAATGTATTATATTATCATATAATTTATTATATTATATTTATTCACTCAATATTTTTTATAAGTAAGGTATATCGTACCCAGTTATTTAATATAATCGATTATTTTTAGTTCTTTGATTTGATATTCTTCCCATAATGTTCATATATATTCTTGCTTTTCTTTAGTATTATTACGTAATATATTGATTTTTTGTTTGTTTATAAAATTAATTTTTAATAAGGTTTCTATTTTAATTTCTTTCAAAATATAATTTACATGATAAATATCAGGATGTGGATGGTGAAATTGTGAGTTATAATTGCTATAAAATTATTCAGCTCCATTAGTAGTACGATATTGCTGAATAGATTTGTTAATTCCCTATTATTCAATGATTAATAAAATCCCCTAAACGATCGGTTAATTTCTGGCCCAAATGATTTATTCTCTACTAAGGTAAATTTTGGGTTATTTGCCCAAATGAATGACGTCCGAACCGTTATTGTTTATAAATTGAGGTCTTATAAAGTAAAAGGTAATAAGCAGTAGTGGCTTGAACTTTTTTTTTCTTACCTCTCATTTAATATTTTTATACCACCCACCCTAAAAAAATGTTTACTGCTCTCCAAAAGGTAAATTCATAGGTTTTTAATGGTAAATGTAACAGTGTAATAAATTACAATAATTAAATACGTGGTCCATTTAATTGATTGCAAAGTATGTAGGTTCTAAAAAATTATCAAAATTATATGAATGTAGATATCAAACTCATAAAAGTGTGCTCAAACCATAGACATATAAAGATCTTAATATGTCTATGGCTCAAACGAATTGTTTGTGATTATTGTAAGGGGCTAGAGAAGGAGGGAAATAGAAGGAGAGAAACATTTCCTGATAAATAATGAAAAATAATTTTCGATTTATCTGTGTACAAAATTTTTTTAATCTAACATACCTAATTGATTATGTGTCAATGATCGATTACTTATACTTATATCATTTTAACTAATCAAGGCTTAAAATATACTTAAAATATTTTAATCTGTGTTTAGTACATATTAATATCATGAATTATTATAAATTTTAAATAAATTAAAGTTGAAAATTGGAATCTAAATTTAATTGCCTACGTTTAAGTAGGTAGATATGATGTAGATAGATAGATAGAGTTATTAAATTAGTAATACCTATTCGTTATTTAATAATTAATTCTAATTCTATTATTTTTTTTATAATTCATCTTGTAGTTTAGTTCATATTTGTGTATATTACATCAGCTAATAACATTTGTTTAATAAAAATATATTCCTTATAGTAATACCTATTTGTTTTAGATAAATATTATTCTTGATCTTTAGTTCAAATGTGTTCACTTAAGAGTTTGAAAAATGTAATCAAAGTAAACAATTGAAAAGAAATTACCTATATTTTATTTTAAAATTAAAAAGTTCCAGTAACCAGTAAATGTTTTAGTTGCACAATTGGAAGATGGTAAACTGCGGCTAAATTAATCTTTTTCTAAAAGTCGATATGTAAACTGTGGAAAAAAAATTAAAATTATACAATTTGCGACAAATCCGATAAGATATATTATAAAAACTGCGACAATTTATTATATATACCTTCTATATATACTATATATTTTTTTTTTGTTTGATGTTATTATTTACTACTTAACGTTCAATTGTAGAATCAGATTCATGACTATGATCTAAAACTGATTTTTCTTGTAATAAAGTTTTTGCCTTGTGAAAACCAATTTTGACTTGCATGTTTTTTTTAGTGCATTTCCATATTTGATTACCATTTATTTTGGATTTATATTTAAATTTGAATTTAAAATTATTTGACACTGTTAATTCCTTGCCATTCTGGCTAAACATTGTTGTAAATTCCATGACGTTGAATAAATATTTAACTTTATTTCTATTAACCTCTAACACTTGTAAGTAGGTAATAACTAGTATTTTCAAAAATAAAGGAACCAATATTACTAATATATTTCGTTAAAACTTAAAAATACATTTGGATTTACTTTACCACTTTGTACGCAAGCAGTGGCTTATATAGGGGGTGGGGTTCAAACCCCCTCCCCGAAATTTATGGTTAGTACGACCCACGTGTGCATTTCTTTAATCTATGTATTAATTAAAACCAAACTGTCTAGTATGGGAAAAAAATGCTCTCTCCTAATTTTTAAGCAAATTATACACCCAATTCTTATCTACGCTTGCCCGGTATGGGGTAATTGTGCATCCTTGCACATCAAAAAAATGCAAATTGTCCAAAACAAAGTCCTCAGAATAATTGCAAATGTTCCGTGGTTTGTCAGAAATCCAAATTTGCTATTGATACTTTGAATAAACTATCCGTTGATTTTTTTTCAAATATATGGTGCTTAATGTCAATATTAGTAACTTTACTAGTCTCAACAGCGTCATCAAAAAGATCGTTTTCGATATTGAAAAGATTGAAGTCGTGCTTGAGAAATAGTACAAGCGAAAATCGACTAACAGGATTATCTCATGTCAATTCATCGAAGTATTTCAATAAACACTGAAGAAGTGATAAATAATTTTGCAAATCTACCTCAAAAATTAGACTTTGTTCTGTAATTAAATTTATGTATTCTAATTTTCATAGTTATTAAAAATAAGTTAATTTATAACCTTCATTTAGTATATATTTTTTCATAACCCCCCCCCCCGAAATTAATTCCTATATACGCCACTGTTCGCAAGACGCAACATTTCATAATTAATTAAACGATATACGTACATAGGTACACAGGTACATAGGTAGATATATATGATGTAGGTAATATAATAAATGATATGTATAGAAGGTATGTATATAAAATAAATTGCCGCAGTTTGTGTAATGTATCTTACCGATTTTGTCGCAGATTGTATAATCTTAATTTTTTTTTTTTTTTGCCGCAGTTTACATACAACTGCACAATTTTGTGTGTTAATATTAACTCTAATATAATTTTACTACGTTTATTGAATAAATAGCTTAAAAAAAAAATACTTATTAAATAGTGTCTTATATCTTAATTTTGAAAGGTGCTTTTATTCTAACATATTCAAAATGATTCGTTATTTTTATTGCACAGTCTTTGGTACTTATACAAAAACTAATTTTAAAATCCCTTTACATTTCTTTACATGTGATTTATATTTTATTTACTATTTGACTTCCAGGTATGACCGTTAACAATAATTTACTTCTATTGTGTTTTACTCTATTTTTAATAATAATAATTCGTTTTTCAGTCGAAGTAACGGTTAGAGGTCCAATTGATGAAAACACTGGGATGGTTATGAATGTGTCGGATCTAAAGAAGTACATAGATGTTGCTGTAATGCAGCCATTAGATCATAAAAATTTGGATATGGACGTTCCCTACTTCAAAAACATTGTTAGTACAACTGAAAACGTGGCTATTTTTGTGTGGCAAAGTTTGAAAAAGGTCATGAACGATCCTGATTTGTTATATAAAGTCAAATTATATGAGACTGATAAAAATATTGTAGTTTATAAAGGAGAATAATTAGACATAATCAAGTATATTATACAATACAATTCGCATTTTAATATAAATTAAGTTTGTGTGCATTAAAAAAAACAAAATATTATTTCATCGGTTTTCTAAAATTTATTTTGTATGTATTCTATTTTATTATTTTTTATTTATTCTATTTTATTTTTATAGTTTTTAAATTTTATTCAAAAATATTACAGTAATTATATTTCAAATATATATAATGAGAACAGATATTAATATTATGTACAGTTAATTTAATTGGGAAACTAGTGTAGCTTATAAAAGTAATGGTGGAATAAATAATATGAGTTAAGAAGAAGATTTGAGTCAGGAAAGAGATAACATAGGGAAGAGAGACAAAAAAAGAAGTGCTATTTTATTATTTAGGTATATGAATAATGTTCTCTATGACTATAATTTAAAAATAGCACATAATGATTGAATAAAATTTATGATTACAAATAATAATACAGTGTACACTAAACGTGAATACTCGTTATCCAATTTCGATTATTAAAGTGACTGCCTACTACTATGATTTTATGTACATTCTATAAGTCTGAGAGAACTCTATGAGAGTAAGTATATCCTATGGGTTTGTTATGCTCTATGAGTGTATTTTCAACTGGGTGCATCATGTTTGTTAACATTTTAATGAAAAATAACGTGGTCGTTATGAGCATTATGTCATTCTCCAATATAGCAAAATAACAGTAATATATAATAACGGTTATTTTTTTTATCAGTGACCACGGTTCAAAAAAAAACATAAAAAATGATTTTTAGATGTGGTAAGATGGGGTTATCAAAGAATTTCAATGGCTTTAAAGTTAATCCTTCTCCGGATAATGCTGACCATTTCGCAAAAACCATGTAAAAATGGGTAATAGGTAATTTTTGAGTTATTCATCTCAAATATACCAACATGAAAACATCTATTTATACACGTATATATATGATTATATTATATATTTATAAATTTATATACATAAATATATATATATATATATATATTCAGAGCGACAATAGTGGCGAAAAGTTCAGTGAGAAAAAAGAAAAGTATGGCTGTCACAACTACGTATAACTACATGAGCCAGAGTAGAGCCATTAAAAATCCGTGATAATTTGTGTTAATTCTTTGTCAAGCTCTACAAGACTAACGAATGAAAAAAATTGTTCTTATTAATTATCAATCGACCAGAAATAATATGCATATAGGAATAGGGTAAAGCACGAGCAAAAAGTTACAGTAAAAATTTTCGATTTACAACAAAAATATATCATAAAATATTATTTTGATTCCGATCCGCCGCTTATCTATCCCTTACTATCGCTGTTGCGACGGCGACAAATCATGAATATGAATATATATATATAAATAAATGAATAAATAATTATTATAGACATTTATGTATTACAGTGGTAGCTGCGTAGACGATGGCATACATTGGACTAAATGTTTAGGGTTGTAGACAGTTTGTAGGGCTAACAAACTTGAGAAGGTTTTGCCCCTACACCCATAATCCCTTAACTCTGTTTTGTAGTATTCTAAATTTGAATAAAATATATTACAATTACATTAAAGTTAATACATTGTATTAAATTGTACTTAGGTAAGAGAAATAAAAATGAATTTCTAATTCGAAACTGGTCATTACACGTTTTGCTGGTTCTTAAAATATAAATTAGTTTATTATAAAATTATTAATAATGCAGTTAAGCATAGTTTTAAAATTTTTAAATTAAATACATTTTTATTTTTTGAAAACTGTGCACATGATATTTTCAGATATTTCAGTCACAGAAAGATACTGTTGTGACCCTGTGATTTTTCAAGGGTCGCAAGCACGCCACCTAGTTTACGCTACTGCTCATGACAATTTGTTATGGTTGTGCGATAAAATGTATTCTTAAAAGGCAGTAGCCCCACTTATCTGCCTATCTTGGATGAATACTAAATCTATGATTAGCCACACCTGTAAAAATTGACTTCGACGACACTGAGGCACTGACCAATATTTCATACTTCATTGCTTTTATTAAACTAGTTAACTAGGCGACACAAATTTCGCCCAGTAAAAATATTTTATCGTCTATTCAGTGGTCTTCAACCTTTTCAACCCATGACCCACTTTTCTTACCAAATATTTTTCGCGACCCATGTCAACTTCGTAAGCCATGAAAACAAAAAAAAAAAATTTAAATAGTTTAATGTATGCCATTGCAGTAGTGCTTTTATAACTGAATAAATTAATATGTATATTTTTCTAGGTATCTAGGTAATATTTCATTTTTATTTAAGTAATGATATAAAAAAAAACGCATGTAATGATACCGAATAATATGTTATAATACACAAAAAAAAAAATAAGTGTGATATTTGTCCCGAACTGTTTTCATACAAAATACCTCCACCTCCAAGGGCGTAGCTAAGATTTGAATCGGTGGGAGGGGGGCAAAAACATAAAGCGATTAGTGTTAAACTCGTAATTAAAATAATCTACAGATAGACCATTGGATAACACATAAAACGTCTAAACGATTACACGTGTAGATAACACTCAGTCCGACCAAACTATTTTTAGACTTATATCTTATTTAATTTTTGATTTTAATGTAAAACTTACACGTTTGGTATAAATAAATATAATTTAGTTTGAGGCACAGGTGTAGGCAAGTAATAAATATTTTTGCTTAATTTTAAATATTTAAATGCTTATTTTAGTGCTTATAATGATGTTTTTAAATGGTATAAGTCCCGAGCCCTGGTAATAAGTAATAACTAGTGTTTATTTTCATAAGATAGTTGATGATTTATTTTATTCATTAAAAAAATGAAAAATTATTCATTAGTTGGTTTATTATTCGTTAGTCATTAGTCGGTGGTACCCATTACTAGTCGCAACCCGCCAGTTAAAGACCACTGGTCTAGTTGATAGTGTTTTGAGAGACAGGTTGAAACGTAATTAATTATAAAAAAGAAAAATGTTATATAATTTTTATGTGTTTAATATCTTAAATGCAGTTTAGAAATCAAATTCATGAATGTATATTATAATAAAAATTGAATTTTTTATATTATAGTTAAGATTCATAAATACGAACTTGCTTTATTATAATGTATATTGAACCCTACTGAAGAAGCTTGTATTAATTTTACTCTATATTATATTGATATGTCATCATATATATTATATATCATATTCATCTATGTACATCATATATACTTTGAAATAAATATAAATATAAACGCTGTTTGGCGTCAATAAAATAAAATAAATAAAAATAAAAATAAAATGTACTATTTTGTATTAAAAAATAAATAAATATAAATACACAATGTATAAATTTGAATATTATACAATACATTGTCATATTATCGATATTTACTTTTTCTATCAGCATTAAGATTTATTTTTGATAATTATACAGAGCGAACATGAAATACAGTCATACATTGACTATTTTAAGTAATAAATGGTTTGTCACCCATCAAATATTCCTTAAAAAATGCACTGCCATACTTATTATACAATATTCTTTTTAAACAATTCGAAAGTTAGTTAAATAATTATTGATGTCTCTATCTAAACATACCTCCAATATACAGCTAATATTTTAAAAATGAAATATCAATTATTGTCTAGTGAGTTTATCTAATTCTAATACTTTAATAAACCAATAAAAAATAAAATATGTTAAATGAAACAATAATACAACATTGAACAATTTTTTATTATTTTAAACTTAATATTGACATAAAGGTAGTAATAAAAAAAAATGTATAGGTTTATGATGTTTCAAAAAGAATAAAACAGTAATAATAATAAAAAATGTGTACATAATTATAAGTAACGCAACTAGGAAGTGTTGTTTAACAGTTAAACTATTTGTAACAAAATAGGTTTTGGAATATAATTAAGATAAATCTTTATTTTCCAGTGAAGATCTCAATGGTAATGACTCTAATTCTTCATCTAATATTTTTAAGTGATCAGCTGAAAAAAATTAAATAAAATTTAAAAATAATGTACAAGTGAAATATAAATATAATCAAAACATTTAACATATTTATCAAAACAATTGAAAAAAACAACAACCAGTCATCCTCTACTTATGTTTCCAGTTATTCTTTTTATTGACGGGCATAAGAGCCACAAAATATAAATTAAGTAATTTATGTTGAAAGTTAAAAATAATTTTGGTTGCATTATACCCTAATACTACATGGATTATACAACCTGCAGATATATCCGAATTTAGGCCTTTAAAATGTGGATGGAAAAAAAGATTATCAGAATGCCAAAATTAAAATCCTAACTTTGGTGACAACAAAAATGTTGCTCCTATACTTGAATATTAAAAAATACAGTTAAAAGTACTACTTTAATAAATGGTTTCAAAGCATGTGGGCTCTTTCCTTGGAATGCAAATTAAATAGACTACAAATAATACCAAGGCAAAAATTATTATCTTATAAATGGTGCAACAACAATTAGTACTAAATACACTGACAGTAATATTAAAATCTAAATTTTAAAGAATTTTCTGATATTATTGGCGTTCAACAGTATTCAGAATGTTGTTGAAACTAAAAATCAATCTGTATTTCATTTTTTATTAAAATTAAAACATTTTATTTTATACAGAATTTATGAAAAATTAAAAAAAAGGTAATCAACATAACAACAGAGTAGACCTTGATATTGAAATAGGAAAATAAAATGCAGATCAGTCATTAACTGACATTTTTACAACAAAATCTTCTGAAGACTCATTGAGTACTTAAAACCAATTAGAAATTTTAGATATTCCATTACCAATTAACCATCTAGAAACAATAATGAATAACAATAAAATCATATAACTCTAAAAAATTAGAATTATCACCAATTGAGTCATGTTTAGTTTAGCCTAAGATGTTTGTACTATAATTCATTTTAAGATCTTAGTAGTGATGAAAAATTTTTTATTTGTCAAAGCTGTGAAAAATCAGTAATTTTTAATTAAGTTAAGAATACTTAATTGTTAATTTGAGACTTATTATTTTCATTTTATATTGTAATATTTAATTTGTTAATAGTTTCGATAATATAGGTAATATATAATAATAATATATGATAAATACATTATCATATAAAGAAAATGATTTAATGGTAAGTATAAAAATTTGCCAATATACCTGGTAGATACTTTTCTGTAAATTTCTTAATGAAAAAATGGTAAATAAATAAGTTGCTGACAATCACTAGGGAACTAAAACTTAATTTTTCATATAATTTTAATAGGTTTGCACAACTAATGATATGAGTACAAAAACATCAAAAATGGTTCTAATAACAAAATGTTTTGTTATTTTTGTAGAAAACTGTAAGTATAATAAACATATTACTTCTATATCAATTTTGATAATAACATTAGAAAAATAAAAAATTTTAAATAATGGTCAAAGATATTTTAATAATTTTAACCATGATTAAATACAAGATATAGAAACAATAAGAATGAAATTTCCTAAGAATACCAATAAATACATATTTTATCATATGTACTTATAAGTATATTCAAATACCTTCTTTCTTGTCCTGAGCAATGATTTGTTTTAATTTTTCTTTTTTACGTTTAATTTTTTCTCGTTTCTTTTTCTTTTTTATCTCTTCATTTTGTGAACAACCAAATAGATCTTTTTTGGCTGAATTTGGAATAGACTTATCTTCTTTAATTAAATTAAAAAATATTCCTCCAGATGTTCGTCGACGGTTACCATTCTACAACAGAAATATATGGATTACATTTTTAAGTAGACTACAAGTATTTGAAACATCAGTTAATTAAATAAATTTTCAAACCTTTATCATTTGGCCACCATTAGCTTCAATTAAGCAAGTTTTATTATACTTGTCAATAATAATATTTCTATCAATTTTCGATATTACAGACACTAAAAAAAAAAAAATGGTGATAATAGATTAAAATTTTATATATTTATACATGAGATAAGCAATAGTGATTTTATAACACACTAATGTTATTCTTATGACAACTATTCATCATAATATGCACAAGCATTTCTAAAATTGATAGAATAGTTGTATAACTATATAATATGATTAAAAATAGTCATATAAATATTAAAAAATGGTTTGTGTAGATATAAAAAGGTGATTCCTGATTAATACATATCTACATCTTAATTTTAAGAAAATGTATGAGAATAGTACAATAAAAAAAAATTATTTGACTAAAATAATGATAACTTTATCTTAAATTTACCCTAAAAATTAAATACCCTTATAATAAGAACTTTAAAATATTTTTTACTAAATCTGTTGATAAAAATGAAGTAATTTTATAAATAAATAATTTAAAAGACGAAACAGAATCAGATTATGACGAATTATCAGTATTACTACTAAAAAGTAGATGTTTATTAAAAATTATTTAATTTATACATGTATTAAAAGTTTAAAAGAAGAAATTTTTTCATCATAATTTAAAACAATTTATGTTAAACCACTTATTAAGAATGGGAACAAATTAATATTAAATACCTATAGGCCAATGTTGTTGATCAGTAATTTTACAAAGATCCTACAAAAATTTAATCGGTCAAAATGAATAATAATTTTAGAAAATATTAATTTTAACTGTTAAAGTTTTTGTAGGATCTTTAGATTTTGTGAAAACATTTAATATTGTTGACTATAATGAATTATAAAATATCATGCCTGGGCTTAGAATTATTAAAAAAAGTTTTTAATGGTTTTCAAGCTATTTAAATTATAAAATTTAGAAATTTATTAAAAATGAAATGATAATTCAAATTAAATTGTGGTACATAAGGTTGTACACTTGGTCGGGTTTTATTAATCATGTATATAAATAACATACATAATAAATTAATTGATGGAACAATAATTACCAATGCTAATAATACATGTCCACTATTTTCGTACAATTCATGAAACTTAGTACTTACAAAAGCAATTTTTGAATTAAATTGTTTAATTCAAAAATTCAATTTTAAAAAATAATAAATTAACATAAGCTTTTTGTAAGGCATTCTCAATATGGAATAATTCATTTTTTCCATTTCAAAATTCAATAATAAGTAATTATGATAAGTTAGATAATCCAAGCTACTCTAAAATTAATAGAGAAACTAAAATAAAATATCTGAGTTGAATGTTCAATTATAATATAAGATGGAATATACTTATATTAAATAGTACAATGGAACAAGGGAAATTAGAAGTAAATTAAATAAAAATAATACATTTTTAATATTAATAATAAATTAAAAGATAAAGAATATGATGTAGAAAATCGAGACGAGTAGAGGTTTAGGACTAGGGTGGCTTATCCCAAATAGTTCGGACAAAGGCGAAGAAGAATAAATAAATTAATAATTTTAATAAAATAATTTCCAAAGATACCATGAGAATCAAATATATATCCCTGTATCAATCAATATGCTAATATGGAATAATTTTATGGGGAGGTGGTATCACAAAAAACTTAATCCATTAATTATACAGCAAAATAAAGTGATTTATATCAGTCTTAATAAAAGAAAATATAAATAAAATAAAAGAAATAAAGAACTTAGTTTACTATAATCAGTCCTTTACATAAAACATTTTTTTTAGAGGTAGTATATTTAATAATCATAAAAAATGTAGCCTATGATTTTTAAAATTAAAGAAAAAGTATTAAACAAAAATGCAATTTAAGACCTAAAATAACCTAAAATAATCTTATATTGTTCAATTCACTTAAGTTAAACATAAAAAAATACTGAGGAACCAATACTAAAAATAGTGTAAATAAATACATAATCATTTATAATTATTTGATTTCTAAGATATTTGTAAACTATGATAGTATATTTATGTATTAATGCATTTCATATTAAACCTAATTTTTTCTTTTCTGCTGCAATTTGTATTTGTTTATAGTTGTAATTTAAGTGTAAACAATATTTTAAAATAACCTTTATTTAACTTTACCTCCAATTCAAGCTTTGCATATAAGAAATAGATAAACCATAATATGTTATTAAGTAAATTTGTATGATTGTTAATATCAATAAATGGTTACTTTAAAAAAAAAATTCATAAGTTGGAATCATAAGTTGAAAGTAAATATTTGAATGAATATCTATATTGAGCATAGTATTGAACATCTGTTTATGCAGAATTAAAATAAAAATAGTTTCTATAACATAACCCATCTCAATTTTTGATATTATTTACCATGGTACTATCTATATATTATTGATACATTAAATTACTATCTGAATTGATTATATTATAAATAATGTAAATTGCTTATAAGCGTATATAAATGTATATATATACATATATATATGTGTGTGTGTGTGTGTGTGTGTGTGTGTGTGTATGCAGTTGAAAATATGTCAAGATAAATTAAAATCATTGGTTACAACCAAATATATATTACAAAACTTACACATTAAAGTTATGTTGTGTTCATGAAGATTTGTACATAATTCTTCTAAAAACTGATCCATAGGCTTTTCTTCAGATTCACAAATTACAGGCAAAATTCTACTTCTAGTTTTATTATCACTATTATCTCTTTTTTTAACAAATCCTTTTGTATTGACATACTTATAATTACAATTAGTAACTTTGCCATTGCTGTGGGAATATCTTTTTTTCACAACATGATTAAGTTCTAAATCATATTCACTATTGAATTACATAAATGTTAATAAACTAGAATTTAAAACCAAGAATTAAATTTTTGAACAATAATTTCATGCTTACTTCTCTGATTCATATTCAGTTTTTTGATTTGACTTGATGGATGAATAAACTCGCTTACGTTTATGTTCATTATTTCTATATTTAAAATAAACACCATTAAAATAAAGCCAACAATAAGTTTTAACTGTACATAATTATTTCAACACTACAGTAGAATTAATTTTTAATCTTTTACTTTTTTTTCAAACATAATCTACAGCTATATTTAACAAAAACTAAAATAAATAGATTTTTGAAATTCAAGTACAAGTATATTAAAATTGTTTTGGCCTATGAAGGCTCCTTCTAACCATTACAAATTGTAGAAAAATTCTAATTGTATACATAAATACTTATAGCTCAAAAGAAACCTAAGTATCTAACTGATTTTATATCTGACTTTAAATCAAAAAGTATAATTAATACTCTTTAATTTTAACTGCTCGTTGAGAAGAAATTTATATTTTATTCTTACACCAATTGCATACTTATTAAGTATTTTTATATATGTAATTAATTATACACAAGTTTAAAGTCAAAGAAACTAATTCCAATAATATTGTTGTACAAAAGATTAAAACAATAAATTCTACTGTAGAGACCGCTATGTCTCTTGACTTTTAATAATCTTTGAATTTTTAAATTTAAATATCTTGTCCTATAAAAAGTATATTTTTTGAATTAAGTACGTGGGCTTGTAGTTTGGATCATCCATATCAGTGTAACCATCCGTCTTAGAGGTTACTTCAAGGCGGGTAAGACATCCCTCCATCTGTTCTCCAACAACCAAATCCCTCCAGACCGATCCAATTTTTTGATTAACAGTAGTTGTTGCTGTTGTTGTTTGATCATCGTCATATTTGTCAAAATCATCGTCATTGTGCAACTCCAAAATATCTGGATCAGACTGCAGTTAAAACAGTAAATGTCATTATACTAATAGAATGAAACTTGACCGTGTCAGAAATACTTTTGAAAATAAAAAAATTAATTTCATGTACACTAAGATCGTACTTTATTGATAAAATTAATTTCAAACACACAGCACATTACCTCGTTATCAGAGTCGAGAATCGGAGATGTCGAATCCATCATAATTCAAATAGAAATATTCTGTGAAATTCCGTCTACATTGAGCAAAATAAATAATGACCGGTTAGCAACGACAAAAATGAAATGGGAATCCGGCACGGATGATAGTTGGTCGATAACGAAAAAATAGATAACAATAACATCGATAACGAACGAAAACATTCGTAAATCAATTTTCATTCCAGTGTGTGAGTTGAAAGAAATATTAAATTTCCAACGAACGAAAGATATTGTTTGAAAAAGAAATAAAACAGGCTACATTATAATATACGGTAGTCTTCAGGGAAGGGGGGGGAGGTGAATTGGGCAGTTGCCCCTCACCTTATGGTCTATTCAGGGACGTATGTAGACTTACTTCTAGGGGGAAGGGGTGATTCAAATTTTTTCTTTAAGTCAGGTTCAAAATTTACAAGAAAAATGTTAGGTAATATTTAAATCAGGTGAGTCCTTAATATTTATGTTTTTTTTTTTTAATCTAATGCTGGATCCAATAATTGAATCCTAATTATTAATTATTATTATTATTAATTCTAATTATTAGAATCGACTTTTGTGTAGTTGTTTTTTAACAACTGTCTGAGTTTTGAAAGTTAAGTTTGTGTTTTATTTGATTTTTCACTAAGTATGGACACTAAGTATCGTTATTAAATGATTCACATTAAAAAAATTTGATATGTATATCTCACATGATCGACTCCTTAAATACGCTCCTGGCGCTTTGGAGTCCATAGGCTTAATCACTCTGGTGCCCTCCCTCTCCTTATTCACACTACTAAGCAGGTGCGTACACAAAAAAAATGATGTGAGAGGTTTTAGGTTGTATATTTTCATACTTAAATAATCTATTAACCATTTTAACACTATAAAAATATATTTATTAATTTTCCTGAATTTCGTTGGAAGAAGTCCATCCTTCAGAAATGTCCAGATTTTACTACTCAGATCCGACACATCAGCCGAGACGGACCCAGTCAAAGTGCAGTGCCTTTACGATACATCATCCAGATCTAATGCCCAATTAATAAAAATGATGACCGACATCATGTACAGGAAGAGGAGGATAAAAGGCTGCTTGAGAGAGCACAAATCCATAGATAACTACCAAGTTCTATTAATTATATTTTGCCATTTTGACTTATCTAAAAATATGTATTTATATTTTATACATATATTGTAATGCGATAGGTAATACTAATTATTATTATATTAATTAAAATAGCACTGAGTAACAAACTTTTAGGTTTTAGAAATACGAATAAGTATAATCTATTTTATAACGCTTTGATTTTTTTTTTTTTTTAAATAAGCATAGTAAATTATTCTTAGAAATAATAGTGTTATAAAAATGCTATGAAAAAAAATCGTTAAATCGTTTAATTTAATAATTTTTGACCAGGTCGATAACTGCGCAGTTGAAAATTAATTATTAAATGATACTATTAAAAAACTATTAAAAAACTATTAGAAACTATTTAAAAACTATTAATTTTCTTTTTGGTATTAAATGATGGGTATTGCATAAATATTAAATAACAAGATCCCGCAACAGGTACCAAAACAATCAAGAATGTTAGTTCGAAGGATTATTATGCATAACGGTTAATGATTAGATGCAATCAGGGCAACGTTATTCTACGATGTCATCAACTTTGTCAACAGTTTATGATCAACATGTATGTGAAAGATAGAGAGTGAACGATTCAATCAAAAAAATCTGCGTGCGAAGGTTCTCAAAACAATTGTTAGATATCGGTGATGGGAAAGTTACTACAGATGAAACGGGATGTATACAATTACCGACCGATTTCTGCACAATCATTGATTCGCAAGATGCTCTCATTGGCCAGATATTTCTCAATGTACACAAACAATACACAAATCATGAGTGGCTGGCAGAAAAAGTAATTTTAGCAGCAAAAAATGTGGACATCAACGAATTGAATCTCAAGATACAAACATTTGTTACCAGGAGACCTGGTTTCATACAAATCTCTTGATACGGTTTGCGATGCTACTGAAGCTGTAAATTATCCAACAGAATTTTTAAACTCATTGGATTTACCAGGCATTCCACCGCATAATTTATAACTGAAGGTTGGATCTCCGGTTATTTTGCTTCGTAATTTGAACCCACCACGTTTGTGTAACGGCACGCGATTAGTCATTAAAAAATTAATGAAAAATGCTATCGAAGTCATCATTTTCAATGGCAAATTCTGATATGAAAATATATTATTACCTTGAATCCCTATTATACCCACATATGTGCCAATACAATTTAAACGCCTTCAATTTCCAATTAAATTGGCATTTTCAATGACTATAAATAAGTCTCAAGGCCAAACGATGTCTGTCAGTGACTTAAATTTGAAACACATCATGTTTTTCACGCTGACAATTTAAAATGGCGTGCTCTCGAACCATCCAGTTTGTTTGTGTTGGCAAAAAATGGAATAACAACAAATATTGTACACTCTGTTGCAGGCTGTATCCAAATTGCATGCCAAAAAAAAAAATGTCCGAATTGCATGCCAGGTCTTACAGGGGTCCATTAGAATTGCATGCTACGTCTCAATGGTGTATGTTCGAATTGCATGCCGGTTCGATTTTAGCAATTTTTTTTATTACTTATTTTTAATATCCTGGGATGCTGTATTTTTCCAATCCATTTCCCTCTCATTTTGATATCAGTTCTATCTTTCTTATCTATAATAGGTAATATTTCAAAAATTACATCATACAATTTTAAAATTAATCGTCTATACTACTTTATTTCTATAGTCAATACTCTATCTTATCGATATAATAATACTATTATCTGGTATTGGACATCAATTAATGTCTATACATACGTACGTATACATACCTATAGCTTAAAAATTAAATTTTAAACATTTCTAAAAATAAGTTAAATTCTAAATTGCCCTAACACATTACAATTTTTAAAAATTCGCCCAAACGGCTTTCCGGCATGTAATTCGGACATACACCTCTAAGACCTGGCATGCAATTAGAACACTCCAATTTATGTTTATTTTTTTGCCATGCAATTCGGACGCACCGCTGTTGCATTAAGGAATTTATATGGTTTTTTTTCTAATATTGTCATAATTAGCGATATATATATAATTTTAAAGGATTAATTTTAATAAATAATTAAAAAAATAAATGTTTGATATTTTTTCATTTTTATATTCTGTCCCCGTTCACAGCACTCCATACCTCTTCCACTTATATAGCACATCCTTACACACTTATATCAAATTTGTTAGTTTTTCTAGCAAAATATTCTCTAGAAATAATTGATATGACAAAACAAACGTTTGTCGGGTCAGATAGTTATGTTTAAATTTCAAGGCATTTAACACAAAAATGTTTTATATTCTTAATATACCTATTTAACATATTTACTCGTTACTTATTACGCGGCTATAATTATTACGTTATTTCGAAAATCGAAAATGTCTTGCTAGGAATATTTTTGGAATCTCAACTGTAATCTAATAAAATACTATATGTAATTAGGAAATTAAATTGATAGTTTACAAACAGTAGATGGATAATATACGGGAATATTATATTTATAATAATAATAATCTTATATAATTGTCTACTATTAAGTAATATTACTATCGTAAATATAGAAAATATAACTTAATTTTCATTATAAGTTATATAAAAAAAAAGTTTTAAGTTTTAGTTTAATTTTTGTAAACTTTAAGTCTTGTTTAGCTTTAATTGCGTTTGTAAATTAAATTTTCTAAAAATTAAAGTTTTGGTTTTTTAAACCTTAAAATGCAATATTTACCTTATTTAAGCAGTATATAGCTATTAACTTTAATTTTTTTTTTTTAAAAAAAATTGGTAATTCCTAATCTACAATCACCTTCTTAAATTTATAATCACTTAATTCATGGTAATGAACCATAAAAATTAGTAGTAAGTAATAACAGAAATTTCAGTTATTTTTCGAAAAAAATATTCAAACAGGTTATCGAAAGAAACCCAATACTCGCAGGTGTTAAATTACAATACTTATCATTAATCTAGTATTCATGTAAACTTGAATCGTATAACAAAATACAAGTGAAATTAATATATTAAATTATATGTAAATTTTATCATAATATTAATATTGTTAACATCAATATCAAAAATTATCTTAATGAAATTAGAAAACAACTGTACGATACGTATGTATTTTATCTTACTGAAAACAAAATTCCTCGACACAATCAAGAAGTGGTGAGAGGAGAATAAGGGTGTTAAATCTATTAATTTTTCCAAATAATTCAACTAGTTATACTTTTTTATTTTATACACAATATTTTTACTAATTTTAATTTTAGTTTGTAAAAAAATTATTGATAAATATCAGAAGAATTTTTAGTATTTTTTTTTTTTATATACCCAATTTTGTTTTGTATAAATATACTTTTATACATGTATACTCCATATTAATATATCCATTAATAACGGTAAATTATACACATAAAAATTATGATGATAGCATTAAATTCCCAATATTAGTTGAATCTTCTTAGTTAAATATATAAGACTATCTTACATGTCTTATTTATTTGTGAACATTTTTTGTAAAATAAATGGTAGTATAATATACTAAAATGGATTACAAATGCGAAATACTGTTTTATATTTTAACCTATTCAATCCATATAAACAGTTAATCTAAGTTGTGACTGTTTATCACCAAACAATAAATGTGCCTTTTTTCAATGGCCCTACGATGAGTTGATTGAGATATTATAGTTCCTCTTGAAATTAACTTTTGTTTTACTAAACTAAATTTAAACTAAATTCCTATTTTCAGAACTTCAATAAATACCTACGTGCAAATGTATATACAGTACAGTGTGTGATCAACGAATATTAAGTGATTCGTGGTCACACTATCCTACCCAAGCATCAATAAGGCTACATTTTAAAAGCTTTTATACGTTTTGTAAGAATTAGTTTTAATTGCGTCACTGCTCACCAAGTATTTTGGATTCTGAGTGAATGAGAAATGCTTGTAGGTTTTAAAAGGTATTCTATTTTTTTTTCGCTGATCAAACTTCCAAGTAGTTCCAAGTATCCAAGTTCACCAAAGTCCAAACATAAATTTAAATACATTACAGACAATTACTAAGCTGTGTTTGGAATAATTTTTAAATGTAAAGATTTATCTAATTAACATAGTTTATAATATATACAAAATTAAAAATATTTCATAGAATTTTTATAGAACATCCGTTCTAGTGACCTACGCAAAGCCCTACCTTTCCCCGTATATCCACCATCAGTATCCTGCGTAGTGATAAAAGAAACTACTTGAACTCTGTATCCTGTACATATTTCCAGTGGCGTAGCAAACTACAAATAATATAGAAATTTAACAGTTTATTAATGACCCCTCCCTACTCAACCAATTTATACTATACTCATAATAATATTCTCCTCCTAATTATCAACATTTTGAAAATATGAATCTATATATATGTTATTATTTAACTTCAAAGTAAATTAAAGTCATTAAAATAACCGATGTGGCACATTGTGTTAGTAAGTTTTACCAATAATTATTACTAGAACACTATAGTAGTAGTTTCTTAGTGTGACAGTAACTCAGTAATAGCGTTCACTCTACACCAGGGACGGCCAATCCGAATGATCTTGCGGGCCACTTTGGAAATACATTATGATCCCGAGGGCCACATATAAAATTATATAAGTATTTTGCCCTAATATAAAAAAATTTGGAGTAAACTTTTTAAACAAAATTAATTATTATTATAAAATAAGTTTTGGTGTATTAATTAATGTAATTAATTTAATAATTAACTTAATGTAATTCACTGTTTTTATTACTATTTGTATAACATGGTTCACCGATAATACTTGAGAACAAAGATTTTGTTGGTGAATCAAATAGTTTGTTGCGATTACGTTGTTAATAATACGGATTTTGCGCTGTGAGGGAATTCCAGAATATTTTATTGGGACAAAATACATTTTTTTTGTAAATGTTTAATAAATCTCGTGGGTCGCAAACTTTCCAAAGTGGGCCGCAAGTTGGCCATCCCTGCTCTACACCATCTAAGATTCATTTATACTTAACTACCGCCTTTCAACTTACCAAATCAATTACCAGTGTGTTACCAAGTCACGTTCCACCACTAACGCTCCTGAAATCTAGAAGTAACTGCTCCTGGAAAACATGGTTCGCCCTGCCGTTGCATTTTTCAACAATATTGCTGTACCATATTACCCTTCGAGGATGTTACTTTATAATAAATAATAAATAAATGAATAAAATTTATTTGTAATTTCTTTTATTTTATTGTTAATTTTGAATGTGCAATATTTTTAAAGCTAGGCTTATAAGAAAATAAACACCCTAACTATATAATTTTAGTAGTATTATGAATTTATTTTTTAATTCTCATACAATAAACGTGTCGTTCTAATTAAAACGAGCTGTTATCGCATTTCCGTTGTTCACAGAATGGTTAACATTTTATAATAGTAACCATACATACATTTTAATTATATTTACCTTCTTTCGATGATGATAAGTGAAATATAAATATAAATGTTATTTATTATCTTGGATTATAAACTGTTTTTGTGATATTTGTCTACTTTAAAAATATTTTCTGATGCGCCACTGCGACACTATCATGTAAGCAACCATATCATGAACCATATCATATAATATAATCACATATTCTATAGTTTCATTATTTTTGTAAACTATACTATCATATACAGGCATTAACCATAGTAAAGAGGTACTTCCTTGAAATTCCAACGTTGGCATAATATGATATGTTACACATTTTAAATTCTTATTGCAGCATAATTTAGTAAATGCTGAGAGTTTTTAATTTTATTTTGGTGGTATTATATTTTAACTTAGGCATTATTAAAATCATAAAATATTTTTAAAAAAATAAAAAATGTCCAGTTCATATTTTTATCACCTTTCCATTACATGAACTGTTTATTGTATTAGTTACCAAATTTAAAATCGACAAAGCCTCGTGTTACATGCATGGTGTACGTACATTTTTTTTGTGTACATTGATTCAAACCGATAAAACCTATTGATTTATCTATTAAGTAAAATAATATTTGCCTAAGATCTTTTTTAACGATAATATTACAGACAGACTAATACCTTTTAAAAACAATGATGTTGTTAACAGGCAATTAATCATTATTGATATATGAATGAACGTTGCACAGAATAATTTAGAATTGTTAGTATATACTTTGAAGAAACAGAAATCACAAAGTACCACATGTTACCATTAGTTTTTACCAGCTTTATTCTTATTCAACTTGCAAAGTAATTATACATAAATAAATAAATAACAAAAAAAAAAAAAAAAATTAACAGTAATAAAATACTATTATGTTCGAGTTTAAGAAACATTCTCCCTCAACCCTTTACATAAGTCATAAAACAATACGAGACTCGACGCAGACAAGCAATACTTAAAATAATAAAATTAAACAATCAATACTCAATGGTTTACACTGCATGTATAGCATCGGAAGCATATTCGTTTATCTATTGAAGCGGCACAGCAGTATCTAGTTTTGACTAATCCGAGATGTTGATAGAGAATAATACTATTATCGCATTGACGTTGATGTATGTTTAACGTTTTACTATAAGCACATTTTATATGATTTTAAATGGTTTGATCGGTAGGCATATATATAATTATATAAATCGGCAGATCCACAGCACTGTATATTATATCTGAACGAAGAGAATCGATTAAGTGCAGTAAACGTTTACGGTGTCCGGGCGATATGAATCCACACGTGGATTACGAGTATTCTAAGCATTGGGCAGCATCGGGTAGAGGAATGTCGACGTGGAATCTCGGCTTACGGAATTTTCCACGACACAAGTGTACTCACCCATGTCCGACCAGCTCAAATTGTTCAGGATCAGCTCGCCTTCGGTTCCCATCTGTGAAATCGACACCGTATACGGTTATTTTATCGTGCCGCCAAACAAAATCTGTATAATAATATTGTTGAAGTTGAAGTTGATAATTTACCTTACGCCGCGGATCCATGTCGGTGTCCACTATGTTGCCGAAGTTATCCTTCCAGTATTGCCGGTACAGTGAATTACCCGACGCCACGCAGGGGATCACCACGTTTGTGCCGATCATTTGCGTGATAATCGGACTCCACTTTGTTATTCTAGCTTTACCTTTGGAACACTGAACGGGCCTGCCTAAACATTTCAATAAACACGCTTGTTCAATATTTGTCAATGTACAGATATAAGGTGTTCACACACACACACACACACGTCAACAAAACATGGGAAGTTAAATCGTCATTGAATTCCGCGGCTAGTCGAAATTCGTTTTTAAATCATGAATATCTTATTAATGTTGTAGTACTGCTCATAATGATATGTCATTTTTAATCCATACCTTCAACTGAAATTGCCACGGGGTCACTAGCCATTGTCTGATCTCTTGCCTGACCGGTACAAGTGTACAACCCTTGGTGATGAGGTTGGACGCAATCGATTATATGCCTTATAGTCATTTTACCAACACTTTGAAATTCTCCAGAATCCTCGAATTCATTAGGACCCACTGTAATCTAATTATATAATAATTTTTTCACATTAGTTATACATAAAACATTTTATTCTGTATTTATTTATTTATTTATTACACGCTGGGAGGCCACTATAATTTACAGAGATTATTAATATTGGTAAGTATTTAAGTTACCTGATTGAGTTGTACTCCTCGAGTCCACAGAGCATGGGGTACGGGACTACCGAAAACCGTACATTCAAGTTCAACCCTGCCACCAGGAGGAACTCGAATAGGTTCCGAAGGTGTTGTTTTTACCATTACCCAATCCTTAAGTTCTAATTTCACAGTAGCTCTTTCATTATCTATCAATGAAATTAATTATTTAAGTGTTATATTTCATTTGACGTAAATAAATGAATTTTATTCTCATAGTTATTTACATTTTTTTTTTTTATGTATATTTAAATATATAATTTAAATCATTCAAATTAAATAAGAAAAACTAACCTCTGAATGTCGATTCATCCACAGAGTTCTGAAAAAAACAAAATCGAACATATCGAATAAATAAATAATTCAATAATCAATCAGATCGAATTAAAAATGATTGTATATATATTTAATAAAATAACTTAAAATAATTTCTTATCATTTATACGATGAACCCTCAACATTTATACATAATTTTTATTTCTTTGGACACATAAAATAAACTTTAAAAATGAAAAAAATAAAATTTGAAATATTAATAGCATATATTAATATGGTTCAATTAGTATAACGGAGCTATGTACGGTTGACCTATTTAAACAATATAATATATATTTATAACCAATGGGTTAGGTCTTAAATTAAATTGTATCCATTGTGGCCTACTATCGTTTTTTTGCATCAAAAGTAATAGTTTACTTTGAGTTTTATACATGCCGCATTACAATATCGCGTGTTATTCTTATAATGAAAACATTTTTCTGAAGATTAAATTTAATATTATTCGACATTCGAATTATATTATAATTTTTTTTTTATTAATATAATATCATGGATAATTAACTTATGGGGTATGAAGTTAAGTCTGTGTATAAATTATGGTAAATGTTAAATATATATAAATTGATAAAGTAATAGTAGATTACAATTTACAATAATATTTAAATTTAATAAAAATCAAATAATGCAAAAAAAAAAAAACAATAAAAACACGTACATTTTTTCGTATTGTAAAATAAATATAAGAGAAGACCGAACTTCGAATGTATACATTTGAAAGATAATTCTAAGATTAAATATCTGTGATTAAATAAAGTGTAGTTACTCAACAAATATTATTTTACTCAAAACTAAAGATAAACTAACAAATGGCTAAACTACTACTCATTTAAATTATTCCTAAAAATAATCCATAAAATAAAATCCTGATCGTAATATTAAATTTTAATGTAAACGTACACACATATTGATACTATTAATACCTTTGAGTAGAATGCAATACGAGCCTAATTCTATGCTAACAATACGATTTGATATGAAAGAAAAATATGCGCAGTTATTTCATTCTTTGATTGAGTATATTAATTCGATCGTCTAATCATAATAAAACTAAACACTAATTAATTATTTTATAAATAGTATTTACCATCACCACTTCTGAAACCGAAACTATTAAAAACTTTTTTAAACTTTTATACAGTTAGAACATAATATTTATCATTTTATCAGCAGTAACTTATGAACCATACTAAAATTAACTAATTTAATACTTTTATTTATTGTATAAGGATAATCATAAAAAAAAAAAACTTAAGAGCTTACCTCAACAATGTGGTTTATCGGTATGACTGCTGCGAATCCAGTGCTGTTGATCAACACCAACCAGGAAAATCCCAGTAGTATTGCAGAGTATCCCATAATTGCGTTTTTATGTATTTTTAAAATTTACTGTAAGAGACGAAAAATGAAATCACTATTTAAACGTGAAACTATTCTATTATAACCGTTATAATATTACAAATAAACCAATATTATACAAATGAAAAATTACTAAAATAAAAATAATTTTTTTAATATTATGTTATTAGAAGAACAAAAGAGGATTGGATCCTTGGTTTGGATTCTTTGTAGTCGCCGAATGGTGTTGAGAGTTGGATTTGGGAAGTAGTATAAGACATGTTTCAGGAATTTGGTGAGTGCTGGTTAAGCGGAAATCTGTATTAGTCTGTTTAGTGTGGTGTCTTAGAAAGGAGTGACTACTACGGCGTCCAGTTGGGTCTTTTATACTCTAGCATTATCTAAGAACTCTGTAATATTGCGTCAGCCGACGCAAACCGTTGAATTAGTATTCAATTTTTATATCAAAGGTCAAGTTTCTTAAATCCTGTTTAGATAAATGAACGTGTACTAACGTGTACTTAATACTTATACAAGTAAAAATAAATAATTAAGTTAAAATAACTTGTCTAAACTAAACATGGAATGGAATTTGATTGAAACATATTTTTAAACATATTCACTAATTCGCCGAACGAGTATAAACCAGTAACTGATGAAATATTCAGATCAACTTTTTTAAACATACCATTACTTGCTGATGTCAACGTCTACTTATATTTACAACATACCTGTATAAACTGTTTTAATAATATTTACGTTTTTAAAAAAATCTAAATAATAAACATTAAATAGACATATATTTTATACGTATTTGACAATCATCTTGACATTTCAACATTTTAGATTTTTCATTTATGAGATTAATTTTTTTTTTCATGTTCGTATACTGCAGAGTACTTAATATTAAATAGGCATGTCATACGATGATATGATTTCCGATCTCGAACTTATCTAAATAATAGTTATTATATTCTAAAGTAGGTATAATTACCATATGAATACATACATGTTGCTACTTACTACTGAATAGTACATGATATAAGTAGTATGATATAACGTTATGTAATGTTATAACACGATTAAAATAATATAAACACAGACAGATTAACATAGAATTTTTATAATAAATTTATGAATCGCGTCTTTCTGAGTAATTTTTAATCGCATACCGCATTTAATCAACTTTTACATTAATTGTATTTAATAACTACTTATTGCTTACAAGATGTTTGCGTAATGAATAACGCATTTTTTGTATTAAATTAAATTTGAAAATAATAAATGGTTTAATTTATCTGACCGAGGGTGAAGACGTAGGAATATAAACTATTAAATCATTGAATAGATTAATGTATTCATTAAATTCAATAGGATTTTATACATATATAAAGTAATTTTTTTAAATTTTATTCAACACAAATTTACTCGATTGTGGTACTTTTTACGGTAAATTACATTTTTTATTTCATATTTTGAAACCGAAAATCAAATTTCGAAGTAGTATTTTATTATTTTTAAATGTTCAATGTTTAAACGAGCATTGGCACTTCGTACGGTATCCCCAATAAACAGCCCTCTCTGCTAATTAATCTAAGCATTAAATAATTACTAGTTTTAAACTAGATTTTAGGTAGGTATCTATGTTTATAAATATAAAAAAAATTATTGAAAAATACGTAATTTAAAATATATTTTGTCCATAAACGAAATTAAAAAAATTAATTGTTACATGATACAAATTATAAATAATAAAATTATATTAAATGACGTGACTTAGAAAATGAGTGTTTAATGTTAAAAAAAACTCAATATATATTTATTTATTTATTTGTGTTAAGTACGCATTTTGAATCACATCTTGTGATCGATTTTAAAGTGTTTTACAGATATAATTTACTTTAGAGCTAACCAATTGTACATCATATTATGCAACCATGTCTTATCGAGACTAAAATATTTATAATATTTTGTTAAACTCATGATAGGTAGACATGTTCATACCGGCCCGGAAAAAGTAAATAATGTACGTTCCACGATTAAAATATATACTTATGGCATTGATGATGAACTCAATAAAGAAGGGCACGGGCCTGATATCTATTTATTTTTTTTACCTAAAGTATCATTATGCTCATTACATTATTAACATGTTGCAACATTTCTTCGAGTAGTCGCTGAGTCCGGAAACGTACACACATTTTTTGACTGCTAATCAAGAAAATATCTATGATATGCTTCTGCAGGAATCTTATCTACCATTTTACATGAAAAAAAGTCAATTTTTGGAAATACAATTATATTATTAATCACGTCCGACATAAATGATGACTGTTAATAATATTAAAATAAGTCTAATCTATAAATGCCAAACTTTTATAATATACTTATTGATGAGTATTAAATTAAGTACCCTTTGTTATACAATTGTTTTTAACTCTTAATTCTGAAAAATCGATAACCTCTCACGTGGAGATTTTTTCAAGAAGCAATTAGGATTATTTGATTGTAATATTTAGTACACGTGGTTCATACATTCGTAGTACAATTTATTTAATATTGTAAATTCCAAATAATCATTTCAACATTAAAACTATGATTTTTGTATTCATGAAAACAAAACTATAGATACTGCAGTAATAATCCTATTATTATTTTATTTTATTTTTTAATATTTTTTTTTAAAAAAACAGTCTATAAACGTGTTATGTTTATTGATCAATATAGACAATATTATTCATATGTCATTACAATATTATTTGATTTAAAATTTTTTAAAAATAACAAGTATATAAAAATATTAAAGAACAAATTTATAATCAACATTTTAAAATAGCCTAGATTTTTGTTAAATCAACGAAATATTAAAAACTGTTTGACCTTATAATTTTTTTTCGAATATTCATTTAATATTCATTACAATATTCAATATTCCTTTTTCAATCCTATATTTTGTTCCTTTAATTTAATATAAAATAACTATAATATAATAATTATTTAATACACGTTAATTTATTCTTTTCTTACATTTTGTAAAGTTAATTTTTAATTTTTCAAAACTTAAAAATGCATTACCTATTATCTATATTCGCAATCGTAAGTACGTAAATAAAAAAAAAAATAAAACATTAAGCCATGTTAAACTGTAAGGATAGTGACCCAACTACGGCGATTTCGGTACTTAATGCAAACAACCTCATTTCTTTAATCGGCTTCAAAGAATATTTCTATCATTTACATTTGATAAATATGTATATAGTTACTGCATATTCTTAAAGTCCAGAGTAGTTTTATGAGTATTTAAGTTAACTTCTTTTTCCTGAATAAAACTCGATTAGGGTTGCATTACGGTCATAATATAAGGAAGGCTACTTGATAAGGCTATTTCATCCAAAACAATTCAATTTTTTTATTTCAATTTAGTAAATTGTAACAAATATTAATTAAAATAAGTATAGTATGTTTGTATATTGTAGTATAGTCATAGTTAATTGATAATACAGTACTTTATACTTATTAGCCAACGATTATAAAAAGCATTGTGGTCCTTTTCAACTTACAACCCGGAGCTACAGCCACCTCCCTTGATCCAGCCCTGAACCCAAATACATACTTTTTCATCAAATCAGTGATTAAAACAAACATTTTGCATAGTTACATTTTAATAATTATCACATATCAAACTAAATCTATTTTTTAAGACAATTTTTTTATATAATATATACACAGTATATTTCATTTCGTGCCATTTAAATAATAATTAAGTATATTTTGCTTACGTCATTATTATAGATAATTTATAATATAACTTTCAAGTTTAGTAATCCTTGTATGTGGTTAAAAATAAAACATATGGCATCATAAAAATATATGTATATATTTAAAAAATGTGCATTGATAGCCGATAAAACAGTGCAAAACCAAACTATTGTAGTAAAGACCTTTGCCACATACTAGTACTTATTGTTACTATTATAAAGTACTAATTCATATAAGAATTATAAATTTAAAAGTGCTATGTTTTATGTATATCTATTGTTCGATTAATTTATACGGCGCAATATATAATGATTGTTTCTAATTTTAAATATTTTTTTATACATATTTATTAGTTACAAGAATATAATATAATATGTATACTAATAAGGTAAAATAATTCTATAACTTTTACTATATCTATGTTTTCAGAATATAATTTAATTATTTGATTATGATTAAATGTAAAATAAATTCAAAATTTATTCATAGATAAAATATCTGCATTAAAAAAGTATTCAAGTTTGTAAGTACACCTCTGAATCATAAAAAGTTGAGATCGAAAATTTGAATAAAGAAACGATGATAGACATTTTACATGTAAAAATTAATTATTTTAACGATAAAATAGACCTTAGTATTTAAAATTTTTTATGTGAATATTCAAAATAAACTTCTTGGTTACAATATGACATAACTATTGTTATTATTAACACTATATATTAATGAACATTGATTAAGCATAAAATTATTAAATACCTATCATTAATCCCGTTTTGAGATTATTTGTTTAATCGTTTGTCATTAGTAGTTAGACACGGTTGTGTCTGAAAATGCTAATAAGTGAAAGAAACATCTCTAATACTGGTATGCGTACTGTTCATTTTGTGTTCAATATGTGCCTACCAAAAATCAAAAAATACATAAATAAACTAAAAAATCTTAAATCATGAATTATTTAGACAAATTTATGAATTATCAATATCTTTTTAACATATAAATTCATTTTGAGATTACAATAATTAAGAAAATTCTATAAAAATGTATGATAGTGTGATAATGATAGTTTAGTGTCTAAATAGCTTGTGTAATTAATAAAAAAAAAACCATGTCTATACATGATAAGTGATAACCATTAAGTACTTGATTCTAATTAATTTGTTAAAATTATAAAATAAATATTGACTTGTAATTTTGTTGAGTTTATAATTGTTCATGAAATTTGAAGTTTAACACTAAGACTGTTATAAAATGTAGTTGACATTCTGTATAAATTATGTGTAACTTCTTGTCCATTAATTAATATTATTTATAACATATATAGGAATTTTCTTACGTGTAAATAATTATAAAACTTAATTTATTGAATTATGAAATAATAATAATACTGACTCAAACTATAAATAATTGTTTTAATTGTTTTATTATTTTACCTTAAATTTTCATTTAACCAATTATATCAAATTAAAATTTGCAATAAATTCTATATAACTTCATCTTATACGTTTTAAGTCGATATAAAAATATAATAATACAATATGAAATTAATATTTAATATAGTTTTAAAACTTAATAGTTGTTTATAAATAAAAGCAAGGGAAAAGAAAAATATTACAGTATTTTTTAATTTTTTGGTCATAAATATTTTCATGTTATATTTGTACAAAAATAATTAATGAAACATTTTTACTTTATTTATTCAGTACATTACAAGTGTTATTAAAATAAAATATATTTTATGATACATATTTCTGTTGAAATTATTCAGAGAACGAATTACGTTTAAAGTATAAAATGAGACATTAAAATATTTCGAATTTTGATGACATTCAGATAAGTTATATAGTAATTTACAACAAGTATTTGATTTGAAGTATAGTTTCCTTTAACTTAGTTTAAAATATTATTAATATTTATAATATTTCTGCATATCGTAAAAATGTGGTTACCAATTTGTTTTGTCATACTGGTATTAATGAATATGAAATATATTAATACCAATATTAAATTATTATATTGTGATCAGTGGTTGTGAATTAATTAATTAAATGTATTTTCAATAACTTAACACATTTTCATTTTACGATTTCTCTTTATGAAAAAATAAATAAATAAATAAAAACTAGTAATATGTTCAAATAAATTATTAGGTTTTTAAATTAAAAAAATTTCAAGAAACATGTTTTTATAATATTAGTAAAATTTATATAACACAAAAAGTAACTAAAATTTAAATTTAACTAATGCTGCTGTAAGTTACAAAATATATAACTGTGTTATACAGATTTAAAAAATTGATCGTTGTCTGAAAGAATAAAAAATACTATAAAATATTTTATGATTTAAACTTTATTACAACATTTCCTTTAATAATATTTTAAGTTTTTTTAGACAGTTGTATATTTAGGCTCTATAGCTTAGTTTATTTTATAGATTATTCCATAAATCTATGTCTTTCGTTCAAAACTTACAAAATATTTAAAAAGTTAAACCCTTCATGTGAAGCCAAAGTAAAAAAAAAAAAAAAATCAACACACATGTCGCAATAAAATAAATTTTTTTTTAAACCACTCCGTGGTAATATGTAATTATAATTATATTTTTCCACTAAAAATAAATTAGTAAGCCCTATGGAATTTTTTTAATCAAAACATATTAGGAGGTATGGAATAAGTTATCAATTAAAAAAAAAAAACCATTAACGTATAAGACAACAATGATATTTTTAAGTAGTTTAAAGAAGTCTATTTTTAATTATGAAAATTTATGTTATGTGTATAAATTAAAAAATAAAGTATAAAATGTTTATATACTATATTACTATATTTAATACGATCGAAGACAAAATAATTGTAAAGATTGTCAAAAAATAATTTAGTTACTCGAAATATTTCTACATCATCTGATATTTTTAAATTAATTTAAAAATGAAAAAGGTTATTAAACAAATAGAATTATAATCCAAACATTGATTACAACTCTGTTAATAATATTAGTCAGACAGAAACGTAGTAGATACTCACGTACTTGAAAGTGTGTTTTCTTAGCGAAAGTTTGTGCGCCGTGTTCAGGATTGAATGCAACAAGTCGTAATGATCTGAGTATTGGTTCCTCTAGACTTTATAAACCGTAGTCACAGCTGTTATGTGACGCAAGCGTCGGGTCAGGAAACATACGAAATCGTTATTAATCATCTTAGTGTGTGTGCATTTCTATAAGTAAGCTGATAGAAAAACCCCGTTGATCCTTAACAGGATATTAAACTAACATTATTGGCTATTGTGAACTTCGTGGGTGGTAAACATTACTCAATAATCTAAACAGCACCGCCAATCAATCCAAGACAATTTTTTTGTGAAAAAAAAAAATGAATTAATCTATCGTTTCATATTTATCACACGACGTGACGATCAATCTTAAAAAATTGAAACAATTATTACAATAACATATATAATGTGAACTCGTGTGCAGATAAATACAAAAATATAGCAACACTTATATATGTGTGTGTATATAAAATAAAAAAAAAACTGGTATATAAACAAAATATACTATTTGACAAATTACAGTCATATAACATAATTTAATTACTTGCCATCAGTGATCATTGTATTTTTGTCCTACAATGTAATATTATTGTTACGTTTATTTTGATTGATTCTGCTGTATACGTTATTACTTCGGCAAATACAATTTTTAATTTAATTGTTATTTTCATTTTCTAACAAAACCCACTGTTGTGTTTTGAACAGTGTTCATTAAATATTAATAAACTATAAATTTTCGGTCATAGATGTAAGATGGATAATGAACAAACTACATGTATTGTATATATATATATATATTTATAAACATCAGATTGACTCATTGAATATACTTACACTCAAGTGCAATGATTATGTAATATATCTTACGTAAATTTCGTACAAAATTAAGCATCATCAAGTATATCAAGCTATTAAAAATAGTCCTCAACAATGGTTAATATATTACAAATACACCTTCAATTTAAATTAAGGGTTTTGTTACGTCAAATGAATATGATAATAATATCTTGATTTTAGATTTGGTAAAACTTAAAAAAATCAAAGAGAGTATTAGTTTTAACATGAAGTTTATTAGTTAATTACTATATGACACAATATCTATGAATTAATATAATCTTTAGTTAATTATAAAATAATAATTTAATCTTTTGTCTTAATTTTTATTTTTTTGTTTAAGATATAGCAGATTTCTAAAAGAATCGTATTATCCCATGATTAGATATTTAAGGCATAAAATATGGTGTATTCAATAATGATGTCATTTGATCAAGGTATTCTACATTACTCACAAAATAAAATTTGATTTCTTGTTCAATGTAAAATAAATAAATTTAAATAACTTACAATTATTTACAAAAAACTATATTTTATATATATTTAATACATTTTACATTATTATTCCATATTGACATTAAATTAAAACGAGTTGTTGAGTTTTATTATACATACATTTTATTCTAAAAATGTTTCAATAAATTATATAAATTACTTAAACATAATTCCTGACATTTTAACATCAAATTACTTATATTATATTTAAAATTAAATATATTTGTTAATATTTAATTGAGATATTTTAAAAATAGTTTTCTTAGTAAATTTGTTATTTCAAATTAAATCACTAAAATTCTTTTAAAAATATTTAACATGCTTTAAATTTTTATAGAAAATAAACTTGTATAAACTGCAAACCTACTATTTTATAGCAAAACGTATTCGCATTCAACTATATTCTATTTGAGCAGTTTCATAGAAGTGAATGTTAAAAAAAGTTATCATTATAAGGAATTAAGGCTGCATAATATGATAATCACTACCTTTTCTACTATAATTGTATACTACTATAATCGAAATAAATAATAAAACAATACACTATTAAATATTACTTATACTATAATGACAATCATTAATTATGCACAATTTTCTGGCCAAATTCAAAATCAACTTCAGCATAAAATTAATGAATTTAACTGTACGTTTATTCATTATACAAACAGTTGATATTTTTTTCAAATCATTATCATGTGTGATATTATACAAACTAACTAAAATAATTATGTAATTTAAATTATTCAATTTATAGTTATGACTAAATATGATTCACAGAAAAATAAAACATAAAATTAAAAAAGTCATTATTTTTAATTAATTTAACATTTATTTATTTAATATCATCAAAAAATATAATGTATTACAACCTTTTCATTCGACTTTATAATTAGAAAAATCAGAACTATCGATTGTGTTTGTCTAAATGTGTAATGAAATAAATGGTTATTTAATTTACCACGTGTTTATTATTGTTGGGTTAAATTTTTACAGTTGATTTACTTAATTAAAGCATTAATTATTTACATAAATAATATAATTAATTTCATTAATTTTATTAGTAAAATAATATAAAATATTAATAGCATAATTGCATACTTTATGAACATACTAATAATATATTGTCCATGAATCTATTTAAAAATATGAATTATAGTATAAAAAAAGGATAGTCACGGTTTTTTTAAAAATGTAGGTACATTGCTAAGTAAAATAGATTTTTAAATGTCAAACGTTAATAATTGAATTTGTCCTTATCTTAGATAATTTTTTTTTAATCCCTATAACTTATATACTTGATGGTTAATAAGTCTGGATGATTTAAAGTTGGATTATCTATTTTTTTTTAATCCCTATAACTTATATACTTGATGGTTAATAAGTCTGGATGATTTAAAGTTGGATTATCTATTTTTTTTTTAATCCCTATAACTTATATACTTGATGGTTAATAAGTCTGGATGATTTAAAGTTGGATTATCTATATACTTATTAATGGATAAAAGTTTATTAATTTGTTGCAATAAGAAACTTTCGGTGGTGTTACTAAAACATCACTGTAAGATCAATATATATTTCATTTCACTTAGAACTAAAATTATTTTTTTCATTAACACTAAATATTTCAAAATATGTTATTGTTTTGCTTGATATTTTGTAATCACAAAAATCAACCACAAAAAAAATCATATATACTGGTTAAGAGTTGTGTAAAATAAATTAAAAATTTTGGTTGGCTTAGAAGTAATAAAGTACTCAATATTTTTAAGTTGAACATTTTAGTTATTTTTTTACAACAGAAATTTCAAGCTTTCCTTTCACATGCTAGATATTTGGTGAACATTTCAAAGTAAATTTCCAATTTTTTCGTAAATGAACTTTAAATTAAGAATTTTGTTGGTTTGTTGGTTTACTTGATTTACTCAATTTAATGTTTTAATGAAATATGACCCGGAAATATTAAATTATAATTTAAATTTATCATTGTGGTTTATAAAAAAGGAAGACATTTTTGATTCTTGACATTCACTAAATGTTTATAGTAGTATAGATCTTGATAGTGTACCGCCTTTTATATGAGTATTAAAATAATGCAAAAATGTTCTTACCAAACCACTACGTGAATTGTTTAACTTGTCGCTTTCTACTGGTTCTTTTCCATTATAACGGAAAAAGTTCTATATGTTTCCTATTTATAAAAGTTGAGATAAATGTAATTTTATTAATTACAGGCTAATCTCTAAATTATCTATTATTCCTAAATTATCTGGATCCATTATTATTAAATAACTATCAAAACTATTGTCTAATTATATTTGTCCTATTCAACATGGGTTAATTATGTTATTTAACATAGGTCTAAAAATCTATATTTACAAATATAATAACTTACCATTCTGATTTTATCTCCACTATCGAAAACAGCTTACAAGTTGATACTGTTTATACAGATTATAGTAAAGCCTTTAATAGAGTGAATCATGACTTACTTAAGCTTTTTGTGCTTTTTCTGTGTAATCAAATTCGTAACAATGTCGATTTCTTTTATATGTCCCGTGAAAGTTTAAGAATGAAAGCTTTATCTATTTTCTCAAATTAAACTTATATTACATATCATTTATTATAGTCCAATATCTATAAATTATCTAACTATTTATGTTCTAAAATTATGCAAATATGTTCTTTTTTTTCTTAATTAGTACACTTCCTTTTTGGTTATTATAAATATATTATTCTATATATAAAGGGTTCGTTCCATTCATGGGTAAACAATGAAACCTATGCTATGTAACTCGTATACAATAAAAAAATTATCTATATTCAATAAAAAAAATTGAAACCTAAAGTGTTAGTTTTCAAGTTAAATATATTAAGCAAGTACCTACTCGTAATATATAATTAAGAAAAATTATTTACTCATAAAAATTATTATTACTTTTGGCGATGGATGTTAACACCCGGAACCATATGAGCATTTAGTCACGTAGGCATACTTACTTCCACTTAACGAAAGAGTTTTTTGGCACATTTTTGTTCTATACATAGCAGCTTAACTCGTTTCAAATTATAAGCCAAAATCTTAAGATTATTGTCTATGATAAATTATAATTCCAATAAGTACAACAGTTCCTGATTTAGTAATTACCTAGTTCATTATATTTTCAATCTGAATATTCGAGTGAAAAAATAAAGTTTACGTATGATTAGGTATAATTCTACTTAAAATACATAGGTTTATTTATAGATAAAAAAAAATCAAAAACTAAACCTTATACTCACTTATATTAAGTTATCAATCAATTAAGTTATGTCATTAATGATGACTTTTTTATAAATACCAATATGTAATAAGTCTAATTGATTCATTCAGGCGAATTATGTAGGCAGTGGCATAGTTACGGGGAGGGTGTAAGGGGTTTCCACCCCCCCCCCTCATAGATTTTTTTTTTATTTATATTTGATTATTATTTATTAATATTTATATATTATAGTAAAATATTTTGATTTTACTATGATTAGGTATATATTAAAAATTGAATAACAAAATAATTTTCATTAATACGGGACATAATAACACTATTTTAAATGTAATATTATATATGATCTCGTTTTAAGATATACTACGAACACTTAAAAACTTACTCTTAAACACCCCCCCCCCCCCCCCAGAAAAGAATTGTATCTACGCTACTGTATGTAGGTATTGTTCTTTAAAATATATCAATATTTAAATAAATAAAATATCATAA